GGGGCAACTTGCCCCAGGCCTCGATTTTTTTTTCATTCAAAAGAAATTTTAAAAAATTTATTCATCTCTATTCCAAATGTAATTTGGAATAATTATTAGTCATTTCTTATGCATGGAGAAATGAATTCTGTTTATGAATTGGGGTAGGAGGAAATGTTTTGTTTGAAAGGAGAGACCCCCATGGATCAACTGACTTTGGTCCCTGGTTTTCTCTGGGTGTCCCTGGTTATAGTGACTATTAATGGTAAAAAAATTCTCTTTATTAAAAAGTATTTTTATTTATTGTGAAAACAGAAACAGACCTGACGAATAATTAAAATATATAAAAGTTAAAATTAAACTTTTTTTCATTATTCTATTCAAATATTAACTTTGTTCTAGCATAATATCCAATCATGAAATTTTAGTGGTGGTTTGTCCTCAAAACTAGTTTGTTTTGAGTCCTCAAAACTAGTTTGTTTTGAGGACTCTTGTACCTCTAAACAATCTATTGTTTCCTTTCAGGTAAGTATGTACGTGGAAAAAAAAACACAAATGCAATTTCTTTGAATCTGTCAATCATATTATTGCAATTTTCCCGTCTCGAGAACTGTGAAGTCATTCTCCATCGAGTTCGTAGGTAAAACATACAGAACAAACTGCCATCTCTGATGTTCAATGAGTTGACAACCCTAGTCATATCATTGGAAACAACTTGCTGTATATCTGGGACCATTGATCTAACACTGGAGACTCCAAGTACACAACTGTTTCCATGGAGACACTACCAGGGTCATCCCTGTCAGCGTCAGATTTTTCCAACAATGTAATCTGAGAGCTTGCAAACGATCATTCTTGCTATGCAACATTCAAAAAAAGTAGAAACAAAGATCCATACTTTCTTTGCTTAAACTTTACACTTCATACTTTACTTTACATTGGTTATTTCAGGCAAAGGCACTGTCAGTTGACATGTCATCAGAAGTTGACACTTTCAAATATAATGCTTATAAATAAGAAAATACCTTACCTCTAATTATCACTTTACACAATTTCTGTACGGTGAAGCCATCTGCATTGTAAACCAATAACTTTCATACTAGTCTGGCAATCATTTTGATTTGTATGTGCCGTTGTGTTAATAAATATCAACTACCAATGCCTTGACATCAATTATCAAAATATTCTGTGAAATATAATTCATAAAAGAGTGTGTAAGAATTTCATTTTTAACACAATAACAAAAGAATTAAAATATTATAAAGGAAACATTCTAAAATATATCACGCGTATGTACATACAAGATGCCATAAAAAAGAAGTATCTCTTGGTTTTGGTTGCAGCCTGTATGAGAAACTTAACAACATATCATACATTTCAACGTGTTGATCAACCTGAGAGGTGATTTTCAGGGACAAATAGTGGCATCTAATTATCTACCCTATTTTTTTTCATAATAATATTTTAAAAAACCTGATTTCTGAAATGAGGCAGAGCCTGAGTTGGGATCTTACAAATTGCCACATATCACTTGTAGAGAAACCTTTGAAATTAATGCAAATGTTTAGCCATCAAATCTTCAACTAGCAAAAACACTTCTGCCTAGATGATTAAGCACTTCATTAATCAGCCATATTCACAAGCAGTTGCCAGGGACATTCCCCAACTCCCAGGGATATTGAATATGAATGAGGTACAAATACAATTAGTGGGCCTAGAGTGTGAAAGTAGTAGTGCTTGATATTTGTCTAAATGTGCATAGAATAGTGTTTCACACAGTACGTTAACATACAACTAACAATATGAATGATACTGCAAAAGCTTGTAGTTATCTGAAATTACAGCAAGTTGTGACATATTTTGCATCCACTTTCCTGTTTACACCTAGGAATCATAAGAGAATAAAACATTCCTTGATAGACCACATTAAGCTCTAAATCTGTTTGGCATTACATGATTTCATATTAACTTCCAATATTTTGAATGTGTAGCAAAATGGACTTTATGTGTACTTTGTCTCACTAACAACCTGGACAACAAGCTACCATATTTGAGATTACCTTTCATATTTTAATCAAAGTTCACTGTTTTTTGTTGTTGTTGTTTTTTAATGAAAATTATGTGTGAAATGAAATTATTAATAGAAGATTAAGCTATTCTACAGTGAACTTTCATAGCAATCAGAAGAAAAATTACAAAAATCACTAAAATTTGTTAAAAGGACTTCTATTTCAAATCCAGTTACAGAGTTATTAAAAAACAAAATGGCTGAAAACGCATCTTCATTTTTTGGTTTCACAAAACCAAATTCAAATGTAAAAACAAAGGAATGTTAATGTAATTTTCAACAATTTTCTTTCTTTTCTATTCTACTCATTTTGTATTAATAAATATAAATGTATAATACATTTCATACAAAAAAAAGAAATTTAATAAAGAAAATTCGATTTAAAACACAAAGAACATTCAATAACTTGTTTCAAGATTGCTTGTTGAATAATACAAATGTTTCATATTAAATTAGATTTATTTCAAAGCTCACATTTTTAAAATGCCCTTAAAAGAAAGAAGTTAATAAATGGGCAAAGATCCCTGATTAATTGTAAAACCTCCAACTTTATGATGAACAAATGTGTATTGAAAATATATCTGAAGACTACTAAAAATAATATGAACTAGTGCAGAAATATTGTTCATCTGATATTTCATAAACGTTTAGCCATTTGCCAGTATATTAAAAAATTAAACTAATGTCAAAAATAAATAACCATTGGTTTTTGAATTCTGTTCTAAAGGAATTTTTGCATGAAATAATCAACCACACAATTGTATCTAAACAAACTACACTTTTAATAGTGTTAATGAATGCAAAAATAAGACGAAACTGTCTTTGTATAAATTACTGTAAAGAGATTTTGTGTTAATATGTAAATATTTATTTGTGCAATAAAATTGTTTTGTTCATGTATGCTGCTTCAATTTCTAATTTCAAATAAAGCTGGAAAACCTTCACATTCACCTGAAGACAGATGGTGATGAATTTTCAATATTGAATTTAAGTAAATTTCAGTGCTTAGTCTAAGAGATGAAGAGAAAATACGATGTGAAATCTTTGCAAAATAAAAGCAATTCAATTCAATAATATTTTCAGTTATTCAATATTATTTTCCAAGGTGAGGTTCAGATGAAGAGGCTCGCTCTTCTGTCTGACCATGCAAAAACCACTCCGCTCCGCTCTTTTCACCATCTGGCAGAGAAAGGACTCTCTCCAATTTTGCCCAGAGGCTTCATTTCAGCTTGAGGACCTTTTACATGCTGTAAATCTACAATATGGGACAGTTGGCGTAACTTTGCTTCCAAAGGATTTTTACACCCTTGAAAACTCTTGGCTTTGATCGAGTTTGAAACCTTGAACTCGCTATAACAATCTGATACGCTAACCATTACACCACTGAAGTCACTTACACGATGGGAGTATAATGAAGAGAAATGCAGAACCAGAATATTACAGAAAATCAAATAAATGAACAAGAGTCAACGTTTTGCTACTTTGTAAAAACGATGACTTACAACTTAAAATCATGTTAACTACATAAAAAAGTTCCTAAAAAGGAGCAATGATCATGTTAAGAGAACAAAATCTTAAATATTTTGAAGAAACAGGCCAAGAGGGAGAAGAGCATCAAACAGGTGATGTTCGAAGGACAACGAACACCTCAATAGTAACAAACGGGAAACTGGAAACCAAGAAACAGGCCCCTACGTCTAATTCTTAAAAGTTCATGATGATTAGATAGAAGTTAGAAAATTAAATTTATAATCATGATCTGGAATAATAATTTTTATATTCTCCTAAATAAATTTTGTGCAGACAAAATGTATTTGCTCATACATTTATTTGCTTTACTTTGCTCATATTAGTGGGTTGCTGAAAAGTTGGCATTTCTTAACTCGAGAGACACAGCACTTCCAAGCATCAAGAAAAATATTCCTAGTTGCTGGCAAAAACTATAATTTTTGAAGACTTAGAAGTTTTCCAGAAATTATCGTTTCTCAACTAATGAGAACTATTCATTGAGGAAGAAAGAACAGTTTTGAAACGTCTTGGACCAGCTATTCTTGCAAATTTGTAATGTGCACTGATGGCTGTAATGCATGATATGGTTTACACACATGTACTAATCATTTTATTCACTCTTGGGTTTCTGCTTCTTCAAATTGAAAAGAAAAAATCTTTATATAGTCCTTGTTCATTACATCAGTTGCATCTGGACTATATACCCAACAAGTTATTTGAGGAGTGGGATTGCAGTTATTTCTCCAAATCTCAAATGTTTTAAAAGAAACAATTGTCTTCTCATTGGGGTTAATGCCAAATTTAAGCTCAAAAGGTACTATACCATGTGATGCCCATTTGACTTCTAATAAATATAAATCTTTAATTTATTATTCCAATTTTAAATTATATAATTTTTTGTTATCATTTAATACAATGATGTTAGCTTAATGATTCTTGAACAGAAAAGAGTGATACCTTGATCTTCTGCAAATAAGACTTTGCTCATCAAATCAGTCTTTTCATGAAATTATTGAAAATGAGACCTAAACAAGCCAAAACAATCATTATTTGAGAATAAGGTTGTAGAGATTTCTTAAAATTTCAAACAGTTTCAAATAAGATTCCCATGGTCTTCTCATTATCGGAGTTGTCAGTTAGACAATTAAAAACATTGATATATTCAGCTTCTTCCTAGAAAACTATGAGATTTATTAATAGAAAGAAGATATTAAGAAATCATTATATTTATCAAAATGTGGTTATATACAATGCAATGCAAAGAGCAGATTGGTGAATTGCAATGAAACAGAACTTTTGAGTATTCTCAGAAATGAGAATTTATGCATCTGTCAGGACACCTTTTCATTGCCAAATTCTAAAAGAAATTATATTTGTGCATTTGAAACCAAAACAAGGAAATAGTATATGCATAAAGACATGATCACAAGTCACATGTCAAGAACACCTTCCAAATAAAAATCTGCAATAAAGCTCTTTGCATTGTTCTATAAGGCAAATTTATAAATAAAACAAGATTATTTCTTTTTTGAAAAAAGGTCTATTCTCCTTTTCCAGTGCAAATGCGCAGAATCACTGCAATAAATAGAGCAGCTCAGGGATACTGAAGCTGCACTCTAGTCAGTAAACTCTACAAAAATAACAGTGCTCCAAGTATAAATATATCCATGTACAATATAACCCAGATATCTTCACCATCAATGCTATAAGATTTGCTACAGAGTAGTATGATTATAAACTGCATTGGTCAATATCATTTCACACCATCCTAGGCTGATGGGATGTCAACAGGGAGGTACACGTGATCAAAAAATATGGAATATACAATAATAAAACACGTCAATGCTGAGCTAGATACACCCCACAACCTGATATTACAGGCACCAATATTGCTTTTGGTATGTAAGCAGCATGCATGAGCACATACAATCTTCTCTTGCTTCGTGCAAAATATTATTCTATAAAACAACAGTCAGGTAGAAATGTAAACCGGGTACAAAATATAAACCATAGTTACAAATGCAGTACACATTACTATGATTTGCCACTGAAACGTAGCACACTTCTCAGGAGCACATCACAGGACAATAGACACCCTCATTTTCCAAGCTGAGCTTTGTTGTTTGCAAGCCCAAAAAGGAACTACAACCAACTTTCCTTGCAAATCTTCATCTTGTAGAGCATCAATCACTCACTGAAACACACATTATTATACAATTGTAAATACTGAGTTGACACTCATGTGCCAAGTTGCGGTAACTCAATTATGGTCCAGACCTGTGCCTCAAACATCCATTAAGAAGACAAAAACTAAGACACCATCAAGGTGAAGATTTACATATGGAACACCTTATCTAATTTATCTAATAAAAATATACTGTTTTCATCAATGACACCATTTTATTCTAATAATTGGTGCAACCTGCGTCAATCTTGGAGCCACTAAGACACTGGTGACTTTACGTAATACCAAACTGTAAAAGTCTACCTGATCTACATGGAAAAAATCTCTTCTTTTCAAGAGAAAAACATTTCAACAGTTGCCAAATTCAGAACTAACTCAGCTTTTTCAAAAAAAACTGTGCCCAATTTAAGATTATGCATGAATCCTTTTATCAGTTTACAAAATATCTTATAAACACTGAGGAAATGTGAGCAATTCTTGACTTAGCTATTATATTCTATTACTACTGTTAACCATCTCATTTACAATTTTATATTGATGAGAACATGCATGAAAAAACAGACAGAAAATGATCTGCATATTGCAGAAAACCCTCTTGAGCTATTAGAACATTTATTCTACAAAACCATCTTCATAATTTTTATTATTTATAAAACATGGAAGATTTGAAAACAAGATTTTGAATCTCCATTCTCTTATTTTTGTAAAAATGCTTAGAAAACTAGAGTAAAAAAGTTTAGGTCTTGTTATTTTGTAGACTATTTTATAGCCAATTTCTTCCTCATTGAATAGATTTTACAAAACAACATAACAGTTAAGATAGTCAGGATATAAAACAACTAATATATGCTCAGTAAAACAATATTTAAAATTTCAATGATTATTACATGGCAATAATCATTCTGTAGGAAGTGCAACCTGCAGAATTAAAGTATTTCTAAAGAATTTAAAATATAAAATATATCCCAAATATTTCATGATAGCTTGTGAGGACATCAACAGCCATAAATACAAATCTTACACACCACAACATGAAATAATAGGTAATGGTCAAACAGTAATAGGCCCACAAACATTTAATCTGAAACAGCAAACAAGGATTCTCACAGAACTGCTGACTAGGAATTCACTGTTTAAACCACTTCATTTGAGATTGTGTAATAAATAGCTTTTCGTTGTCAATATTTATATTATCTACACCTTGAATTTTGAGTCAAAACACATTCAGGAAGTAATTTTATGAATTGCAAAGACTATAACACATATTCAAATCCAAATATCAAGATACATTCGTTGTACGAGTCTACAGTAGATTTACATGGGATTAGCAAGCTCTTTATTTTTGATACAGTCCCCCATCTTTACCAAAATTAGACTGATTGCAGATCATTCTTGTGGAAATAAAGATTATTTGTGCTTGAATCGGTTTTTACATAAAAGTTCAAACTCCATAACCAAGGCTATCTTCCCCTCCAAAAAAAACCCTCTTCTCACAAGATACTGGTTGCATACAACATATAATTATGAACTCTTTCATGTCTCCAGAGAAATTGTACAAAAATATTTATTCCCATGATTTGAAAACTTCATATTTCTCAATGAAAGATTTCATCAATCATTAATGAACTAATTTTCTGAATCTACTGTTGACCTAACAAACAATATTGTATATTTTGGAAGTTAAATATATTCAAAGCAAAAGCATCTACAACTCTTTCATTACAGAAACATGTACAATACATAAAGAACACTATACAATATCCAAAAATATACAAGGTGATTACCTAAGACTTCCAACCCTTCTTTCAAAAGTTCAAAAGAAAAAGAAGCTGCCACAAAGTACCCTGAGCTGCAGGTATGTATACAAAAAACACAAAAACAAACAAACAAATTCACCAGGTAACATTGTTAAATAACTATTATGTACATATTAAAAAAGACTAAGTTACATAAAAAGTGTAACAAATAATACACAGTGAAAATATTTTACAAATATTCCTAGATTCATTCAAAGATTAAGATGAATGCTTTTAATATGCAACAAAAAAAATGTAGCACCAAATATAATTAATTCTGGTGACATTTGAACAAAAACCACAAGTTTTTCAAAAAATTATATTCCAATTACATTATTTTCATTGACCAAAGTCTCAATTTGTGAATATTATATGTACAATAAACTCTTGATCATCCCCACAAGGAAAGTAAACATAATTCAACATTCATTAAATTGGCACTTCTACTAAGATATATAAAATCTCATTTAACTATTCCTTGAAATTAATCATAAAAAAATTACACTGACAAAAAATATAACATTGAGATTGCTTATCTCCCTCAGACAATCTGGAGGTTTGTGCAAGTAAAAGACCACATGTCCTAAGCAACAGGATTAGCAGATCAACAAGGGTGTTACCCAATCAATCAAGATGGAACGCAAGGCCAAAGAATCGGGTCTCTTAGAAAAAACAGTGAATTTTTCTCCATGATGTGGAGAGGGTAAAGAAAGTAATACCTCTCAAAGGATTTGACCCAGATCATAGGCACTAATTCAACAGCACAGCTTCACACCAACATAAAACTGGATTACTCAGATTTTTTTTTTAAACCCACTTAAGTTGATGGCATCAATGGATTAGGTCCTAGCTTAGCTAGCTAATCAAATTAATCTAATTCACTAGATACTTATTAGTGTGCCCAACTCTGACACTAACTAGGATCTGACCTTTAACAACACTGTTTTTTTCCTGAAACCCTGTTTATGAATATTTCCCCACAGCAAATGTTCAAGAGTTCATCATTTCATAGCACCCAGAATCTGCCCAGGTTTTGCCTGGAAGCGCTGAGATGGAAGCTCACAGCGTAGGCCAGTAATACTCGTTTCCTGGGAGAGGAGCAGTCCGCCGTGACCGGCGGGATCTTGCGTGTCACAAGCTCCCACAGGGCACCCATAATACCTTCTTCTGTTCAGTATCAACAGCGGCTTTCACTTGGGTGCACATGTAAGCCACGTTTACTCCAGCTGGGATTACAGCTGTAACAGGAAGTACAAACCACAAAATGACTTTTGCTTTTCAATTCTGATTTTTCCACTTAATATATTTGATTTTTACACAAATGCTTATTTCACCCCTTTGAAGAACAGTTCCAAAATAATGGGTAAATGACATGATGTTTTGGTCTCAAGTAACTATTTTTGTATTGCCTTACAACATCAATTTCCACTTACGAACTTATAATTGCCAGTTTTCCAATTTATGAGCTAAATTCTAAATGTCTGTTTCCTCACCCAAGAAATTCCTTGTTTTACTGCTAAAAGGCGAAATGAGCAAAGTGAAATTTGCATGGTCTGACAAAGAGCAGGCCCACTGGCTTGGGTCTTGCCATGTAAAATGAGATTTCATTCATTCGTTTTGTGATTTTGGAATTTCTTTGTTGATTCGCAACAAAGTCCACTTTGTTATTTATTTAACAAGACAATAATGCCAGAAACTGTCTTGGTTGAGCAACTCAATCTTCACTGGGAGAAATGTTTATGTTTATTATTGCTCTTGTGACTTTCTCAGATGATTGAACAAACACAACAAAGTTAATTTTCAAAATGAACATTGAAATTTTCCAAGAAAACTCTACTGAACTTACCATGTTGCTTCTTTCTGATGCCTCAGTCTTCAAATATATTATATTGGATAGTTAATTTGAATACGAGAACATCAGAAATTGCATATGCCTGGATATTCATGTGTGGTAAATTTGCTTTCAAAGTCAGAAGAGTAGCATAATAAATGTTTTTTAAAACAATTTTTTGATTAATTACATATTTTTCTAAGATACTAGTGGGAATTTTGAATTTGGCTGTACTGTGTAATATCATTAAAAAGCCTTCAAGAAAAGAAATTTACTCTCAATTCATGTTGTCCATACACATAATTAATATGTCTGTTTTCCTCTTGATTGGAACTATTAACATATCTAAATTGGAAATATTTAGACTAAAAATCTTCGATAAAAGTTGAAATTATGAGAACAAGTATTTGAAGCATTTCTTATTTGAAAGAAGATATCCAATACTAGAAAATTGAAAACAAATAACAGCTCTAATGTTCACATCATTTGTGAAACACACTACAGCAGTATAATTTTCTTAGTTTCGGCTAAACCTTATCACACTGAAAACTAAAATTAGCTAATTCGTCTCTCATTTTTCATGAATCAACTAAACTTTTTCATTTTCATCAAAATTTTATCAAATTGGGATATTTATGTCTGGTATAGTTTTCGCTAATAAAATTCAGAAATTAATTAATTACTAAAGTGGAGTGGCAATTTATGACACTACGTTTCATATAAAAAAAACTAGAAAGTTTGAAGTGTTGTACAACAATGAAGACAAGGCAAATTATTAAAATTTAAAAAAAATGTACATGACCTTAATTAAAGAACTAACTATGGACAACAAATTTTATTTGAAGGCCAAAAAAAATTCAGATTTTTGTAAATGTATTGACAGTGAAAATTGGACCACCTTTATAGGGGTATTTTACTCTATTCTTACAAGAAATTTAAAGAAAAATTTTGGAGCAATTTTGGAGAAAATTTTGAAAATGTCCAGAGGGCTTTATGTAAAGTACCACCAAATTTTGAAGAATGTTTTTCAAAATCTCAAAGTTTCAACTTGAGCCATATAGACCGGGGTTTCATCAACTTGGAAAAAAACAAAACATGGTTTAGGTGCTAGTGATGTTCACAGTCAGGCATTTTGAAAAGAACCACTTTTTCGTTATCAGGGACCCCAAAATTTATTTCCATTGAAATCTCGAAATCGATTTTCCGCAGCATTACATAACTTTCCCTATACTACAAATATTACTCCGTATATACATACATATACGGGAAAGTTGAAAGAAGAAAATAACCATTGCCACCAATGGGTCCAATTCTTATCTAAATGATACTACAAGTTTTGTTGTATATATCAAGGCAAACTTACTTTCTTTCCACTTATCTTTCCTACTTTCCTGTTCATTTTCCAATCACTACAGACGATTTTACAGACCAATTATATCCAAAACTAAATGTTAGACTAGTCTTGGGAGAAGATACTCAAACCAAAGAAACAAAAATGTTTCATGGTTGACACACAACAAAAGAAACTGAGGTTACACAAAGTGAACGTACACCCATTTTAGGGAGATTTGTGTGTTTGTATTCTCCAAAATTTTATATTATTGTCTGAATATTATTTCAAAATTATGAAAAATGAAACAGAAGTTCACTTTGAACATACTGTTTATGAATGAGGTTAGCTGACATCAGTTATAGACTATTGACATGTTACTTGCATTACTGCTTCCAAAGTATTTTATCATTTAATATGATTAGCAAACCAAATTTAAATAGTTCAATCAATAATATATTCATGATTACAATAAAATATAACCATCTATATAAAAAAGGTATAAAGGAAACATGGATGATTAGCATTACCCTAAAAACAGGATATAATCTTTATTCATTTAGCATCTTTAGTTATATTTCTAAAATATTTAACCCTTTGACTGCTCCAGATGAGTTGATACGCAAAATATTTCTGTGTGTGGTAGCCTCTAGACAAGTCATTACACTCAGTCAGGAGCCTCTCGATGAGATTATATTCCAAGAGTCTCTGGACAAGTTCGCTCGTGCAGATGTACTTTCGAGGATCGGTAAGTCTTACTGATAACCGAGATGACTTGCGTGATATCTATGTGTTAGTAGTGAGAAGCATGACGCATGACGTACAGTCAGCCTTGCCCATTTCTGTTAATGGGTAAATGGGGGGTTTGAATTCATAATATAGTATGCTAATAAAGTTACATAAAAGAGTTTCAAACCTAATTTTTTTCCAAAACATAAATATCCAGTATGAGCCTTTTCCACATAGAGATGAATTTCCAATGGAACTCTTAATTCAACAACATGAGAAACTGGGTTAAGGAGGGAAGAATATTTAATACCTGAGATTAGATGACGATGCTCCAGTTCCAATTTTAGTGTGTGCTCGTACATCTCTTTGGCAGCTTTTGCTGAAACTTTGTCCAGCGGGTAGCGGGTATCCTTTACCTCCCGAATCTGCTTGGTTGACTTGAATTTGATCAGCAGCACTATGGGGTAAAGGCGATGGGCGTGGAGCTTCTCCACAGAAGGTAAGCTCACATCCAACACACAATGCACGTTCTACAGAACAGAATTACAGTCACATTTCAATGAGACGGTACCAGTTGCATCAACTTAAAAAAATATATTTCATGACATTAAACAATTTACTTTTCAAGACTCATTAAGTTTCAATTAATAAATATTCATTTTCTCTCCAGTTATTAGAAGAAAGCAATATTCTTTGCAATTACTTTTAAATGTTTCACCCATGAAAATAGCTAAAATAAAATTTTAAACAATAAAAACATATTTAGAACATACACAAGGAACATTTTGAAAGCAAGTTTAATATTTCTTTTTCAGATCAGCTGAATTACAAAAAGAGCAAACACAAGGGACATCACACAAGTGCAGCAAGATGATGAATAGATATAAGCAGGAAACCTGAATACTGCAATGCTGTCCAGTGTCAGTGTCGCCTCTAATTTCCAGAAAAAAATTCCCCCACTTTTCCCGTTTTTTTAGTAATTTTAAAATGTTTTTATGACAAGATTTGTATTTTACACTATATAAAACTAATGATGCTACAAAAGAATATACTTTCTGGCATTATTTCTAAATTTACATTTTTCAAAAATTTAGAGACTTCAACAAACATGAGACCCACGCCATACCCTTAAGCATCACTTCTTCTATCAATGGATTAAATTTTAAAAAAATATTTGGAAAAAAAAAATAATAATGGTTTACAAGAAAACATTTTGAAAAAATTATTTTTGTCTACATTTCATGCCAAAATTACAGAAAACCAATTTACATTTTCGATCAATTTAACGTGATATTATATGAAGATGTTTTTGATGAAAACATTACAAAAAAAAATTATCTTCATAATTGTAGTTGTAGAAAGACACAAAAAAACGATTTTAGAAATTTAAAAAAAAATTAGGGATTGTAATAAAAATTTAGAATTGCACCATTCTTCCACATATCCTTCACACTACCAAACAACAAAATTTAATATAAAAATTTGGAGTTGTTTCTTTGAAAAAGTCCCAAGGATATCATGTAAAGTTTTCTCAAAACTCAAAATATGCATTTAAAACACCCAAAGCCTGGAGTTCATTCAGATCGATTTAGAAATATCAATTTTGAAGAAATTTGGCTGAATGCAGTAAGTGTAGACCACAGTTGGACAGACAGTAAGATTAACGTTCAGACGATCGGTAGGTCGGAAAAGCAGACAGTCGGTATGGACGGAAGGGACAACTGGAAGGACGGACGGACGCCAGACCGAAAGGACGGACGCCAGCCACGGTGGACGGAAGATAGGAAAGACGGAAGGACAGGCAGACGTACGGACGGAAGGAGAGGCAGACGTACGGACGGAAGGACAGGCAGACGTGTGGACAGAAGGACAGACACACGTACAGGCAGAAGGGCAGACAGACAGGTGGAAGGGCAGGCAGAGAGACGGAAGGTTTGCCCAGACCTTGCACCATCACACTTTCACAGTTTTTTTGAGATGAAGAAAGCATGATTATGAAGGCACATTAAAAGCAATGAAGAAGTTTTTAAAGAATTTCAAGCAACTAAGCATTGAATTTTAATCATAGGGATTTCTGAACTTCATTTTCCAATTGGACAAATGTACCAATATTGTTTACAATATGACATTGTATTTTCTGTGTTTGTGAAAATGCCTCTGTGTGACAAGATAGGTTAAACATACTTTCAGCATATTCCTTCTATTGTGGATAAATATTGCATTCCCTTTCCTAAATGAAAACTATAATTGATGTCGAAGAGTGTTAAAGCTAGAGAAATAATGAACAGTGAAAAGAAATAAGCAGTAAGGAAATTAGTCATGAGAATTGATTTATCACTATTACATATGACAAGATGGTTGTAAGGTTTTTTATATAAATGAGGAAAACCATCAATTAACTTCCCAGAATTAACTTAACAAATTGTAAGTTCAGTACACTTACCTTCTCACAGATGTCTTTGACTGCAGCAGCTGTAGTGCATTCAAAGAAGCTGCCTTTGCGTCGAAAATCAACAAATACATGCTCTGCCAAGCCTTTCTCCATGACAGCCTGAGAACACTGCATCAATTCTGGGACACAGCGATTGAAATCTAGAGGGAAATCCTGAAGTAGTTTGTCTGTCACACAGTCTGCCAGAGGACCCACGATTAGAACAGGCCGCGGGGCAGGCTCTGAAAGAAAATTACGTCTTAAGTAGGGAGTCTCCTTTGTTGCACAACATAAAGTTACAAGATTTCAAACTTGAAGATAGTCAGGAGAAAGCAAAAAGTAACTGAAAAATCCAATGATGATCTTAATTCTCATTGTATTATTTTTATAAAAATTGTAATTATTTTTTATCAAAACTGAATTTACCTGATTATGATATTATCTGTAATTAATCATTTATTTGCAATATTATTTATTTATTTTCTATTTAACAGACATTATGTCAAAATGAGTGCATAAAAAAACTGGTAAATCAAATTACATGTTAATTACTGAAAATTATATTTATGTTATTTTTTTAACATTTCTAAAGGGTTCATCTTGTTTTTTCAATAAATAAATAAATAAATACATAACACATTAACGTAACCAAGGTAACACTCACGGTCCAAGCGTTCCACCCGCTGATAGGAGCACAGGGCCGCGGCCTCAGCCTCTGCATCTGCGAGACCTCCACCCTCACTGTACCAACCGAGGCTCACTGATGAAAAACTGGCCAACTCTTTTGAATCACGAGACGACCCTCGCCCAGGTTTCTTGCGGCGAAAGAAGCTCCGTCGGGCTGATGTGGCACCACGACGCCCACTACCATCAGTGTCCAAGTCTCCCAAAGAACGGCGGAGTAAAAGCTCTTCTTCCACTCTGTGTCATACATTAAAACCAGTTCTCTACTACTTACAGAATTCAACAAAATTTTGTGTAAACAGCAAGGAACAAAAATGTATAATAACTTGTCTGGAAAATTCACAGTAAAATATGTAACGTGAAAAAACAAGTGACAACAAAATACACTAATATTTATAAAACAAAAGAAAAAAATTGTAATATGAAATAAATTTATAAAATATTTATTAACCAAAATTTAAAAATAGTAATTGCTTGAACTATTTCATTTATAATTTTTTTAAAAGGACTTTTTTTTATCTTTTATAATAATAGTTTGGTAGCTATCCTACAAACATTCAAAATTACTGCAGTTATCTTTGAAACACTACATGTCTGCAACAATTTCTATAAACAAGGGATTATGATTCAGCAATGCAACATTATTCATACTCTCCACTACTCTCCCAATGACAATACTCGAGCGACCTATGATTTCAATTGCTGTTTCACTCTTCCCACATCTGAGATAACTGGTTCAATGCAGTTTGAGGTTAACCCAAACAGACTCAGAGCTCTTGGTCATGGTTCCACACTGGTCACTTCATCAGAATTCAATACTGCATTGTACCCCCAAACAAATTATATTTTGGAATGCAACATCAATTATTTTTTTTAATAGCAAATTTGATGAAAATTGAAAGTAAAGAAAAAAAATTGTGTAGATGTCAACAAAATACATAATACAGTTCAAAATCTATGTAATGAAAAACTTGGATATTGTGTTAGGATAGCAGCAATTTACCGCGATTACAATTCTGTGAATAGAACTCAGAAAGACCAAAAATAGGTCATAACAGAAGAATCTGGACTCTAACAATTCAAGTGCTTAAAGAAAAAAAATATATTTTCATCCAGTAACTGTCTGTAATCCCTTCAACACTCAAGACCCAAGTAGCAACAGTACCTTGTAGCACATTTAGTGCCACATAAATGTGAACAGTTCCTAGAATGACGTTTGATCTGTTTAGCAATTTGAACACATTTTTAAAACTCACTTGTACTTAGAAGGGATGATGCCACAGTGTACTCGAAGACCATCCTCTCCCACGAGCCACGCACGCCAATGTCCGGGAACACCATTAAACATGGTATTGTCAACGTATAATACATCATCTTTGCGGAAGCGCAACTGCATAGACTCGCCAATACCACTGCTGGAACTGTTGGTGCTGCCAACTCCACTTTCGCTGCCAGAGCGGTCGAACAGAGCTCGAATGTAAAAGCTGTCACCAGGCTTATCTTTTATTTCATTGTATCCTGAAATGTATTTCCAGGCATGATACAAAAACCTTCTGCCATATGTATGTATGTTTCATATATATGTTTCATGTTGTTTTCCAACAACATATAACCTACATATACTTCAAAGAGAGAAACTATTTCAGAAAAGTTTGTTTTTTGTTTTTGTTTTTAAACTGACCTATTCTAGTTTTCGGAGGAGAACTCAATGGCCCTCCAGTAAATTAAAACATTAGAGAAATACATTAAATTATTTTGAAATTTTATGTTGTTTTAAAAAAAACTATCATGAATTGTTTAAAAGAAGGTACTGAATAACTTTCAACAACTTATAAAATTCTTTGTTAACTTTGAGTTCATAAGTTCAAATAACATGAAAACACATTAAGAGAAGAGGACATTTAATGGGGCAAATTTTAAAGAATATATTCTATGTTACAAAAAGTCAAAAGCCTTAACGAGATACTTACTCTCTAGGTCATATTGAGCAAGCAGGGTGACTTTGTCAGCAGGTTTAGCCAATTCATAAGCTGCTTCTTCAGCAGTAGCATGTTGAAGTTCGGTACCATTATATTCCAAAATTTGATCTCCAGTCCTAAAGTTATAGCAAGTAAAAATTGGCCTTTCAATTAAGTCTGTCATACAAACGGTGTTATCTTATTATTTTTGATAATGTGGAGTTTTTATGGGAGGAAATAGGACAGTCATTATTATTTCTATAATTATAATTATTATTTTCATCCACTGCTAAAAAATATAAATATATCACCTATAATAACGTTCATCCAACAGAACAATCATGCAACTGTAAAGGAATTTTACAAACAACTAATAGAGTGTTATTCTTCTCAAATAAAGTTTCAATTACATGACATTTCAACAACTACAAACAGCTCCTAAGTACAGACTTGAACTAAACTTCAATAACATTAACCCCTAAGTACTGGTGTCAAGTTAATTTGAAACAAAGTCATTTTCTCTTTTTATTTTTCAAAAACATGGCAAACTACCAATGATGCAGATTCCATGTAATCTCTTCTCATAACATTCCTATTCAGATCATGCAATGAAAAAATCTGTTTCTCTGCATTATCCTTTCTGACCTGATGCCAGAGTTAGTGTTTCTGTGCATATCCTTACAGCTCATGTGCAAGCATGGTGCTTTGGCAATACTCTGACTTCATGTCTAATTTTACATAAGTGGTGAATGCTTCTTCCAATGGGTGACTAGCGGAATTGGCTAGTTTTGGAACAATATACAAGAACAACCCGGACACTCATCTGGAATTCTTGGCAAGTACACAAAGGTCAATTCTAGCTTCTTTGGCTTTACAAAGGAGAGGACAACGGCAGACTTATCATGATCTATAGTTATTTCTACTATTCACAAGGATAAGAAAATTGACAAAATCACAGGCCCTCTGCAGAAGCCAGGAATCGCAACTTTTAACAATTGTACAAAGGGTGGAGTAGATAATTGCAATCAGCTCTGTAGTAATAACAGTTTAGGAAAAATAATAAGATGTCTATTAGGTATAATCTTTTATTTTGTAATCATGACATTTTTTACTAGTATTTCTACAATACAAAAAAGGTACAATTTGTTTGAATCAGAATGATCCGGCTGACAGTTTCATGCAATCGGGAGCTTGAATGTCATCACAGTGACATTCCTATGGTGATGTTCAAGCTCCCGATTGGATGAAACCATCAACACCTGATATCCGGCAGGGGCAGAGTTGGAAAAAGCTCAGAGTATAACACTAATGCTGGCATTGGACCCGACCATTCTGACTCAAAAAAATTGTGCCTAATAGTCACGTCATTATGGTGACGTTCAAGCTCCCAATTGAATAAAACCATCAACAGCTGATACCTTCCAGGGGCAGAGTTGGGAAAATCGCAGTATAGATTTCTTGCCAGTAGTTAAGGATTAATTCACATTTAATGCATAAATTACACATTTAATACATCTTTCTACGGATATTAAGTTTCTGGAGTATTTTGACCTTTTACCTCTTTTTTAGCTAATTTGGCAAATATGTAATAGTTTCCATTTGAAGTGAATGATACGTAGTTTCTACTGGTAAGGTAGGTCAATTAATAAGTAGGCGTACTGATCATACTAACTCAATTGATCATGATTAACATGCAGTTATAGCAAAAAATCAACTTAAATAGCATAAAATAGTGAAATATTGTTATTATTGTATTCATTGAATGTTGTTAGTCACATAAAACATTAGTAAATTAACTTTAGTAAAAACCATAGTAATTAAATTTTATGAATTTGAATACTTATGAAATACTAAATTTTGTAATATAGAGAAAAGATGGCATCCTGAGACATCGGGCACAACATTCAAATGGAATGTTATAAAAATAGCCAAAAAAGAAACCACATACATATATACAGTGAAACCCCTATTTTACACCTCTCTAGGGACTGGTGAAAAAAAGTATAAAATCAAGAAAGCTGTAAAATCAAAGAAATTTTTTTTTTTTACACAGATTTTGTTTCAAATCACATTTAAAATCTAAATATAATAAATACATTAAAACTTCAATTGAAAAAAAATGACCCTTAGAAAAATAAAACTATTTTACACTGCACACAATCACTTCCACCCAGTATACATTGACATTTGCTTTTTGTTTTCGAGCTTTTCGTTTCACAATGTGTGAAAGTGGCAAAATGCAATGCTTGAAGGATGTGTAATTTCAATTTGGAAGCATCTTCAAGCATCCTTTTATCTATCATTGCTACAGCTCTTCTTATTCAGCATTCTTACAACTCTTCCTTACGTGAGAGGACAATTTTGAGATTCTTGCCCCCATCTGCCAATCTACTTGTAAGGTCTACATCTTCACTTGTAAGTCTGGAAACTTGTTAGAGTAAGTCTTCAAAAATTCTTCATCATCCAGGCTTGTTAGATTGCCTTGAATTTGGTTGGAATAATTTTAATGTTTTTAAAACATTGAGAGTTCTAAACCTTACCAATAACTAAAAGAAGCAAATTTTTACTTCCTTTGGCATTACATGCCAGCAGCACGATATTTCTTTGTTTAGTGCCTCCATGGCATGGGTTCCCTTTATAAGCCAATGTTTTATTGGGTTGGAGATTGAAGAACATATAAGTTTTGTCTGCACTGAAAATATTCTTTATTTCATAACCCTCAGTTAGCTGATGAATGTTCAGTTTCAAGTCCTGATTTGTGGCCGAGTTCACAATTAGACACTCTCCAGAGGCAGTTTGTTAATTCGATTCTGACGCATTTTGATGTTCAGACAGTCATTGGACGCCTTGAAGTCTTCAAGTCCTAGACATGCTGCTATATGTATCACCTTTTCTTTTAGATGTGATTCATCTGTGGCTAAATTAAATGTTCTTGCATGCTTAAACCAACTCATGAGTGCAGTTAAAATCTCCCATCAGAGATATTTTTAGTGATTTTCGTAACTTCAAAAGCGACGGCCTGCATCTTGTGAAACACTTTTGAACTTGCTCATGCTGTTTCCCTATTGAATTCAAAGTGGACACACTCAAACCCATTTTGGCGGCGAGGTCTACTCGCTTCCAAAAGTAAACATGAACTTCTAAACTATGAATTTTTGAATAGCAAAACACAACTTTAATATGTATCGCCTGCCTGAAACTGATATCATTGCTGCCTTTTCCTTTAAAATGTCTGACTAAACTCCAGTCATGCAAAAATCTTAATATCGGAGTTTACTACACAATAGTACTTCACAACTCGGACACAAAATCGAGGAAAATTTAAAATCACAAAAATGTAAAAATGAGGAAAATTATACATTACTTGTATGGATGTTTTGCTGTGACTACTCAATTATCTAATTCTAGGAAAACCTAAAATCAGGGATCATAAAACCAAAGTTTCACTGTATCAGCAATTAAATGAAATTTGTAACAATCTTATTTGAAATAAGAAGAAATTTTAGATTGAAAATCTGCACAAACTATGACAAAATTTCATTCCTGTACAGACCATCATGTTTTACTTATCTTTCTGAAAGAACACCCAGGAAAAAATCAAACTTCTAAGAGAAAGCCAATATGTTGTGTGTTTTGTTCACTTACTCTTTGTTACTAATAAATAGATTGCTTAAAAGTTCTTATGTAATATGTGCCAAAGAGTAATATATCTAATTCCTAAATACCAAAACAATAGTAACAATAGGTAGTAAAAATGTATTGTATGTACATTACTCATGAATGCACAAACTCCTAGCATGTATGGTTTTCTGGTTAATTTCAAGAAAAAAATACATTTTGCCACTATGAGTCTTTTCTTGTGTCATTCGTGTTCTATGGAGCAAAAACCAAATCCCAGTCCATCTAGAAAACTTACCTCAAACCAGAGGCATGGGCAACAGAGTCAGGCTGCACACTGTGCACAAAGATGCCCACAGCATTCCCTCCTACCAGGCTGATGCCCAAGTTAGAGCATTTGCGAGTCTCCATAAACAGGTACCTAGGCTCCCTGCCGCTGCCGGCTTCTGAATTCCTAAAACACACGTAGCTAGGTGAATGGAGGATGCTCATATTTAAAAACAATATAATGATTAGAGAAATACTGGAAAAAAGAGGGAAAGAGTCCAAGAGGAAATGGAATGAGACGAGAAAGGGAGGAATGAAGGGATGAAGGAATGAACGAAGGAATGATGGGGCGGAGAGAGGGGGACAAGAAGAGGGGAAAGGGGGAAGAAGGGGAGGAAGAAGAGCGGGAAAGGGGAGTGGAGAGAGGGAGGAACTAGAGGTACAGGAGGGGAAGAAGGGAGGAGAGAAGGGGGGAAAGGGAGAGAGAAGGGGGAAAGGGAGGAAGAAGGGAGGAAAAGGGGAAGAGAAAGGGAGGAAAGGGGAGAGAAGGAGGAAAGGGAGAGAGGAGAAAGGGAGGAAGGGGGAAAGGGGGAGAGAAGGGAGGAAGGAGGAGGAGGGGAGAAGGGAGGAAGGGGGAGAGAAGGAGAGGAAAGGGGGAGAGAAGGGAGGAAAGGGGGAGAGAAGGGGGGAAAGGAGGAGAGAAAAGGGGAATGGGGGAGAAAAGGGGGGAATGGGGGAGAGAAGGGGGAAAGGGAGGTAGAAACAGGGAGCCATTTGTCTTTTTAACAGCAATGTATCTTCCCCCATTCATCAAATTGTCTTGATCAAAAATTTCATCACAGCGTTGCACTTTCATATTGCAACATAGGAAATCCTTAAAATGTTCCCTCAAATTAATTCTGCTAATATTAAAGATGGTGTATTTATCGTTCTACAAACATTGGAACCAATGAATGATCCTGCATTTGTAGTTTAAATGAAGCCAAGGCAGCTGCAAGGAAATAATTCTAATTGTTAAGAACTTCCCAGAAGGTTTTAAGACCCTCCCAGAAATCCATTCACAAGGCCACACACCTTCACAAATGCACTTTTTTAAAATTTTCTATACTAATGTAAGTCAATCAATATTTTAATAGTTATCATTACGAAATGTGTAGGGGAACAAATAAAAATAAAATTCAACATAAATTAAAAATTCTTTATAAGAAAACATCAAGTTGACTGGACACTAATGCCTAAGGACCTCCCAAAAAGTTATGGTTGCACCTCTACTCTAGCAACATAAAAAAATAGGCAAATAATTCTTTGTAAATTTAAACTGTGAAGTGACACAAATTAATAACATTCTCAGCCCTCAGAGCAGTACAGGATCCTTGGCACACTCTTCCCCCCCCCCCCCCCCCCCAAGGTGAACTAACAAACACAATGGGCACCATGCAAGACAATTGTTTTGCTTACAAAATATAAACAATTCTGTTTTCTACAATCATATAAAAATGCATCTATTTCAAATTTTCATTTGTTTCATCTCTACGTATTGGGTGAAAAAGATTTTTCACTTTGAGCTGCGATGTCACTGCACAAAAAGTATCTTCTTCACATTAAGAAGTCTCTTGTTTCAAATGTTTTAAGAAAACAACTATTTCACACACAAGTAAAAGAATGAAAAATCCTTGTTTTTTATATGATCATAGAAAAAAATATGATTTCAGTCACACAAGTTTTTGAACACCAATACACATTCAGATGGCCTGCAAATGAAAGCAAAACTCTTCTGTTAAAATGTTTTTAAAATGTTTAACTGCGAATATTCTATATAAAAAAAAGAAGGCAAAGAGACGTAGAAAAGTGTTCTTTCTTTTCCCTTTATCTCTTTAAAGAACCCAAATTATCGAAAACTTGAGTCTAACTTTAAGAAATTTAAAAAAACAACCTCATTTATTTAGTTCCATGGTTCATCAAAATTTATATAACTGGTACAAAGTTCAGAAAACTTTATTTATTTGTTTATGAGATATTCCTCTTAATACATGTAATTATAAATATGGAAGTACAAGATATACATTTGTTAGTGTAATCACAAAGAGTAAATTTAGGATATTTTGGAACAATATCTTATTACAAATCAGGAGGTTTGATAGAGCAATTCTCGAATAGTACATACATAGTTTGAGTAAGTAATGTTGAAAAAATTAATTTGTTTACCATACTTCTTAGCAGTAGAGGCAATATGGTAAAAGGTATCATTCATTTGATGGTCAGTTTTCACAGGTTTGACAGAAAATTATAAGGGATTAAGTGTTGACACGCAAGGGACCTGAAATACGATATTAGGAAGAAAATTGCTACAATTAATTTCACCCGATAAATTTTAAATAAAAAGAAAAGGTCACAAATTGTTTTCTATCCCGAAGATGAGAAATGTTTTACAATGAGTAGTAATTAGCGTTGTTATGACAAAACCATGGGACAGTGCATCCATCGTGAAACACTAGGTTGTACAACAATCTGTGTTGGACCTTCTTAAGATGATTTACGGACTTCCCAGAAAAGGGAGATCAGGTATACTCAGACAGGTATACTCGAGAATGTCCCTAAACAGCGAGTTAAAGCGAAGTTTGATCGTGTAGAGAGATCAAAATTGAGTTTCGCAGGATAAAATCCAGGGATCGTAGAGCTTTGTTAACGATACTGTTAACAAGTTAAAAAGTAAAGGGCTCAGGTGAGATCCCTGAGGGACTCCAGATGGTATATGGTAAGAGTCGGAATGGAGCAAGAAAGGAGCGGATCACCCATATCCATCTTAGTTTACACACACTATATAACAAAATGCAATCCCTCTGAAGTAAGAAAGAGGAAATGGAAGACACGCAGAATATTTTTTGATTACTTTTAAGATTGTAGCAAAAACTTTCAATTTGTTCTAAATCCATCAAACTTACTTGAATTTAATACGACGTTTTCCAGGTGTTTTGCTAGTTAAAGAAGAAGAAGAAACATGTAAATACAAAAAGAATATATGTTACAATTGGTTAAATACTCCACATATTGTGAAATTACACTGAAGTTAAAACAATTGAGTAAAGACACTCTTAATATTATATGAACTTAGACAATAATAAGACAATATTTGGGAATATGAAACATGCAAGTTTTACATTTCTATCATCCAACTGCAAAGGATTATATTTTTTAAATCATGCTACACAATTCTGAAAAGAATTCATGTGTGCAAATCACGATAAAAAGTTCAATTAAATTTTCGAAAGCATTAGTAAATCTAGTTTTCCATTATGTTCCCAAACATCAACTTTCCTATTTTGAATAGTAACCGTAGGAGCAATAGAAATCTAGTGGTCTTATCAGACAATCTTGACATATGTATAAAACACCACAACAATGTTTCCCAAACTGTGACCAAGTGTTCCACAAATCATACTTAAGTGGATAATGGTAGTCTCCTTAATCTTGGTGGCAATATAAAAGACATTGTTTGTGGTGTAGTTATTTTTAAATACTAATATATCTGTGAGAAAAATATTTTTGCATCATTCTTCAATGAACAAAGTACAGAAAAAGAATGTATGCTGTTTATGACAAGAGGATCCACTGTTACTCGTTACTACCACATTCAAGAAAAGGTGTGATAGCAACATAATTCAGAGCAAAAACTTCCCAATAGTCACTACCAGTGTTTCAACAATGTCTTTGGATAAAACACGTCCATGACAACAAGCACACAGACTTCAAAATTAATTTCGATATTCATGTGTCAATGAGGTAAATGAAATAAAGATTAATTGCCACCAGTTAGTTGCACTTTCAAGGAAACATGTGATGGTACAAAGAAAAAATAATCACGAATACTGAATTTGTTATTATAATTATTATTATTATTATTATTATTATTATTTCCACATTCCAATTGTTGTCTTTTCCATATGTTATGTTTTTGAAGCTGATTCCATAGAAAATTAATTAGAATCACTTTTTTGGAGTTCTCATTGAAAAATTAATTAAAAACATTAAAAAATTAAAAATAGTTTTAATATTGAAACAATTTTTTAATTGTTGTTTATGCTCCCTAAAAGTGAAAAGGTTCCAAGACAAAGAAATTTGGGAAACACTGCTCTGTAGAACTGGTCACACTTTTCACAGCTTAACTTACAACCAACACAAACCCACCTTCCAGATGAAGAGGATGGAGCCCTGGATGCCAGTGAAGCTACGGCTTGGCTCATGGGTGATCGTGCGAGGGTGCTGGGTGGCTCCCCTGACACTACCGACTGAGGGGCCGGTTTACGAGGAAGCTCTGGAGAATTGCAGGGTGTTGGGGAACCAGAGCGTGACCGGCTGCCTGCCCCTCCCTCACTACCTGAGCTCAGCGAGCCCTCCAACTCATGGTATTCTGGAAGGCAAATGACCTATTACCACCTCATTTGCTCTTCACACACAAAGCAAACTAAAGATTTTGACATGATTAGATGGTATTAGAATGCCTGTAGTGATTCTGGATACAAAGGAAAGTAGTAAATCTGAATAATGCCTCCTCTCTATTTTAGATCATAAAAATCACTTCATTTTAACAACCAATTTTTACGTTCAACCTACAGTTGATTTTGAACATATTCAACTGATAAAAACAGTAAATAGAACGTACAAGTTCACTCTGAATAAAAGACAAAATGGGGTCATGAAACCCCTAGTTTTGTAGAGGTCTCCTGAGAATTTTTAACTAATTCTTATATTTTAATCAAAATAAAATTCAAAATTGTCTTGTTAAAGGGAATGATAAAACTTACTGTCTGAACTATCATTATTTTCTTCACACTTTTCTGAATTCAATATTTATTATCGCCCTTTTCTGTGGTTCGATGTCAAATTCTTACATCTACTAATGTGAATTTATTTTTTCATTTCCATCTCTTGCAAAACACAATTGGCACTCGCCAAGCGTTGAACGCCTGTGCAGAATTGTGTAACAAAATCTAGGCAACATTTTTTATTCATTTTCACGTCACGTTTCACTTGATGGCAATGCTGTTTGGAGATTCTCTCTTTACTGGCTCATTCAAAGCCAAGAAGACGTTGCAATCTGTAATATGTTTTTATAGTAATCGAGTAATAATAAATATGTGTGATATTTTTATCATCGTAGTTTATTGATATGTAAACATTTACACATTTTTTGACATAGAAGGGCAATGTAAAACTTACATCTTTACCGGTATGGCTATCTTTGAATGTAAGATGACGTAAGTATTTCTCAAAGGCGACTTTGGGGGGGAAAATACACATTTTGTATTCCGCTAAAAAGGATAACTATTTAAATTAATTGTGACATGATTTGAATTTTATTTTGACTGCCAAATTTATTGTGAAGTTTTATCTACAAGACTGTTTCTTGAAACTAACTTCAGGGACTTTTCCTATTTTTCTTCTTAGGTTAAGCTCTTCAACCTTGAGAACAAATTTCTAAGATATCATTAAGTGAAGTAAACGTTGATTCTTATGAGATCATAAAGATTTCTTTTGTGGTCACCACCTGTATTGTTTTCCTCTTAATTGTCCCTAGCATTTTTATTGTTCATTTTTATAGTTTAATTAAGGAGGGCTCTTTTATGCCTTAAAACTTTGAATATGCTTTTAAAAATATACATTTATGACCTAAAGATTCTCAAATATGCACTTTAATATGCAATGAAAATAAACTCATTTCCTCTGTAAACGTTTCTTGATAAAATTTCGCTAGTAGGGAATGAACAGATATATTTTGGTGCAAACATAATATAATCTACCCTACTTCACAAGAGAAATAATTGAAGTAAATATTCACATTAGTGAAGTACATTGTATGTCTTATATTTCTTCTGACTGGTTTAAAAAATATGTTATCTTTCATTTGCACAAGTCTTTTACCATCTATAGAAAACAAAAACAAAAAAAAACAAAAAAAAACTGTAACTAGCTCTTTCAAATCAATAAATGTTCATAAATAAATAGATTCCATGAAAAGATGAAATGTTTTATAGAAAAGTCTCTATACATGCATAATGACAAAAATGTACAAGCACAAGAATCAAGATAACAAAAATTAAAATATTAACTCATATGACCATGGAATATAAACTCATTTATAATGCATAATATGAGCTTTCACCAATCTAATAAACTCATAATAACCCATATGAAAAATGTCAATGTAACATGAGTTCCATAATTTATACATATTATTTAATGGTTTGTTCACAGTATAAATGCTATTGTACATAGTAACACAAAATAGATCTCTGTTTCTGGTAGAAGCCTGAGGAACTTTATGCTGATTCTGATTTAATAATAATATACAACAATATGTGAACTGATGAGCTTGTACAAAAATATCAAATCATTGTAATTTCTGAAAGACGCAAGAGATGGAATGTTCAAAGCAGTCACAACATCACTGTAATTATGATTAAGATATAAATCATCAATAAAAATTAATAATAGCTAAGAACCCAAGAGTGGGTCCTGAGGTACCCCAGAAAAAACAGAAAAAGAGTTAGATATAAGAGTCCTGACATTTCACATATGCTATATATGTTTTTCCTCTACAATTCACATATGCTCCTACATTTCACAAATTTTGCACATTTTAACAAAATATGCAAAATACACCCCTATAATAACATGAAAATGTACTAACTTGAAAAATCGGCCAAGTATGCACTCGTGTATTAATTTACAGCATCATATTCTAACCAAATGCAAGAAATTTCACTTAGCTATGCACTGAAGCATCTGACAAAAATATGCAAAATCACAGAAATCAGCACCCTAGAGCTAATAATATTCTTTTCATACTCCGTGTTCAGTTGAGCTATATGAATTAAAATAATAACGAGGCAAAAACAGTTAAATGAACACATCAAATATGAAAGTGAACTTACTGTCTGGGCTGTACTGCACCAACATAGTGATAGAATCCCCACATTGTCTCAACACATTGGCAGCTAGCTTGTACGTAGCAGATCGCATGTTTATGCCACATACTTCTAAAAGCTGATCACCAACACATAGACCTGCTTGTGCAGCCAAGCTACCTTCAGAAACTGATGACACAAACACTCCCCCACTTTCCAAATGAGAAATCTGTAAAGAAAGAAAAACATATGAATTAACTAAAAGCTGCTTTGTTTTTATTCAGCAAACATGAGCATTTTTACAGTGAAAACTCTTTCTGGAAGTGGATGATAACCAATGAAATAACAGACATCTCTTGAAACTAGACTCATGATGTACTTACAATCTTGAAAACTTTAATCTTTAAATAAAATTCTTTATGGTTATTTAAGTTCTCAAACTTGAAAAAGTACCATTAAACATTTTTAAAATAATTATATTAATTGTGAAGAGATCGATGAAACTGAATTGAAAAATATAAACTTCAAACACTAATACTTCCTGTAAAAGCAAGGCTCAACAAACCATAAAGCTTGGAAAATCTATGCAGAAATTAAGTGGTCAACAATACTTTCTGGTTGTTGTGAACTCAGGAAAGTTTTAATATTGAATTGAATTTAATTTAATTGAATTGCCTTATTTTACATGGCAAGACTCGGGCCATGAGGCCTGCTCTTCCGTCTGACCACGCAATATACTGCTTACATTAGACATTTAGATATCCATTCTCTCTAGTTTCATTTAACTAATGCATCCAACGACAGGTCATCACATTCCTCTGCAATTCACTCCTCACCCTACACCACACCTGCACAGCATTCTGCACTTTGACTACCTCAAGTGCCGCACTCCAGCAACTCGAGTACAAATCCCGCCCTCATGGACGGGTGGGGATAAGTCTCATTCTACGAGTGGGGACTGCCAATGAGAAAGTGTAATTCAAATCATAGCATGTAAATTGAAGGAGCAATTGCGAGAATATTACAGACTGTTAAACACAGTTCAAATATCATTACGTTTTATTTTGGAAATATTTGTGGTTAATGTGTGACAATATACACTATTAACCTAAAACAAATTAGACATATATCTTTCATTAGGATAAACTAAGTATTATAATTGCTTATAGGGCAGAAAATGTAATTTGTTTTGCTACAATGTAATCGCTAATTTAGCTTGCTGCTAGATACAAAATTGTGCTATTGAATCTTTTTGATTTGATGACAGTAACAAATTATTTTCCATTAACTATGTTTCATTGAATAAGATGGTTCTATCGAAGCTAAACAAACTTATACTATCGTGAATACTTTCTACTCTAATTCTCTAATTTCAGACAAGAGTACATTATGTATTTCCAATTTCAAATCAACAAACACTATTTATTCATAATCATTTATGACCTTGTATAAAAACGATTAAGCCCTTTGCGTTCTATTTAACAGGACTCATAATAATTTCGTGATTGCCCATAAAATATTGAGAAAGAGGTTTGCTCGTTGGTACCGCTGGGTGGGATCAGGCATTGTGCATGCCTGTCTACGCTTTGAAGATTCAAAACTCACAGAAATATAGATAAATATATTCTGCTGCCTACATTTAAAGTTTAGTGACTCTTTGGGTCCCTCCAGAAGCAGCAGGCATTGAACATTACTCACCTGAATTCCCAGAGGCTCTGCACTCTTGTTGATATTAATCCGCCTTAACTCGCCAGGAGCAGGCTGCCGAGTAGGGAGAGATCCAATGGGCACAGGTGAACGTGCCGGGGGAATGATGGTTGGGGAGCCTGCCAACTGCCAGATGTATTTGGAGCGAGGAAAACAGTACTCTGGAAGGGAGCCCCTCTTGCCACCCCCAGGATTCAGAACCTCCACATGAAATGTGGGCATGGGAGAACCCCGATCCGACACTGCACGCTCTATGCTGCCATTGGATACTTTGCTGGTTACACTGGGATTGGATGGAATTCTAAAACAGGTATTGAACAAACATTATTAGAAAATGTTTTTAAATAGAATCAAAACACTTTTGAAATAAGTTACATATAAATCACATTTTAAAAATATGAAATTAATGAAAATCACAGAACAATAACAACTACAGCATAAAAGAAAGAGAGGTGAAAAATTATTGGGTGAAACCTGAAGAGAAGAGCAGAACAGAAATTGGATGTGTAAAAAGAAGAAGAGGCCAGTTAAATAAGAAATGGAGGAAACAAGAGAGCAGAAACAAGGTAGAAAGATGGATGATGTGTTTATAGGCACTAGCAAGAAAGAGGCAGAGGAAATGCAAAAAGGAGGAAGAGATAAGGTTAAAGAGCAAAAGTGAGAGTTGAAAGGAAGAAAACAATAAGAATAGAAAGAATAGGTAGAAAGACATGAGGGAGGGAGAGAGGTCATGAGCAGGAGAGAGACAGAAGTAGGTGAGAGAAGGAAGGCCACAAGAGAGAGAAAGGAAGAAGGGGAGGGATAAAGGAGGAAGGAAGGAAGGAAGGGAGGGAGGGAGGGAGAAAGAAAGGATGGAGAGTGGAAAGGGGGAGGGAGAAAAGGAAAGGAAGAGGAAGGCCGAGAACGGAGAACACAGAGGCGAGTAGCACCCACCTGATGCGCTGGCTCTCCTTCTTCCTGGGGAAGGTGCCGACGCCGACCCCGACGCCGCCGGGCACGATCTCGTCGTAGTGGTGGTAGCCCGCGAGAGCCGCCAGCTCGTGGTGGTAGGCGGCGTGGGCGGCGGCGGCCGCCGTGGCCGGGTGCGAGTGCGCGTGCGCGCCCAGCATCAAGCCGCGCGCGCCCACCCCCACCGTGGCCGCCTTGTGGCCGTGGAAGTGCAGGTCGGCGCTGGGCGAGTGGCCGTGCAGGAACTGCGGCTCGAAGCAGCACGCGCCCACGTGCGCCGCCGTCAGCCCCAGCGCCGCGGCCTCGCTCGCCGCCCCGCCCACGCCCACGCCGAACCGCCCGCTCGACGCCACCTAACCAACATCCATTACAATGCTATAACGTCAATTCAATCCCGAACCAGCAGAGACGGCGCTAACTATACCATCACTACAAGACCAGATTGGAAAGGATAATACATTTTTCAAATACAATTATATAGACACAACGCAACCACGAGGAGCGAAAACCACTCCTAACAGGCACGGTCCATTAAGCATGTTAACGGTCCGCAATCCATTAAGGTCAATGGAGGTAAATAAATAATTAGTGTACGAGTGCTCAAGTTCAAAGAAAAGTTTTTCTTTATGACATTTTTTTTTGCAATGTGATATCACCAAATAGTTATTTTCATATTAAGTGGGTAAAAAGTTTCCCTTTCTTTCAAGGTCAATATTGGAGTCCAGTCAATAGGTGCTCAAAAGGGCTCGATCCAGGACAAAAATCCTCATTTACAGTTTTAAATCCTCATTTACTATTTTTTCACAATTATATTTGTAAATTATGTCTCAAATACGTAACACATTTACAACTAATCGAGGTGAATATGTTTAGCATTTATTAATGTTTGTTGGAAGGGATACGATCGAGTGTTGGATCAGCCACAACCGTGGTCCACGAGCTCCGGCTGCGGCATCGTGTGTTTCAAAAGATCGTGTTCCGGTTCTTCACATGTGTTCGTTCGCATGTGTTTCTTTGTATTGTTTTTTGGATTTATAGTTTTAATCGCGTCAAAGTAAAATGTAATTTCGTTTATTTTTCATTTTGATTTTTAGGGCGAGGTAAATTTATCAATTTACATTTTTTAAATTTATTTTCTTAGCATAATTAATTGATGTGTAATCCACCATCAGTAAAGTGCTAGCGTGGTAAAGTGTTTTATAATGAAAAAAAGGCTTTTAATGTCTACAACAATTTAAAAGGAAAAACAATGAAATTGTTTACGGACAAAACAGCGGCAGCAGTCGGTATAAGTTCAATAACAGTTTCTGCAACAAGATAATTTGCAAGTGGTTCAATTACAACTCCCTACAATTACTCTTTCTACTGAACGAGGAAACGTGAATGCATTCGTGTCAATAGGGAGAAGGGAAGCAAAATACGACTTCGTGAGAAGCGCAATCCGCAGGGAAGTGCATTCATTTCGAACGAAAAATGTTCTGCCAAGACTAAAAAGTATTCTTGCGGCAGTGGACAGCGACAACCTCCTCCCTAATTTCAAGAAATCCAGTTTCCATCTCTTACTAAAAGGAAATAGTTTTGAATTTGATGGAAGGAAAGAAAATACGCGTTCATAAGTATAATTTGAAACGTTCGAGACAAACTTATTTTGCACTAAACTAACGCTCCACCCCATTGCGGGATTCGTCGACACCATCGAGCGCGTTACTTTCGGTTCATGTATCGCCACATTTGGCATCACTGTCGCCATAAGAGACCGTACTTCAAACTGAACCTCGGCCGGTGAACCATTGAGCAGTGCCGAAGTTTCGGTCCGAGGGCGCACTCACCGCCGCGGCGTCGCTGGAGGCCGAGTGCGGATGGGGGTGAGGGTGCAGGGGCGCGAAGGGCGCCACGAAGGGGTAGTGGGGCAGCGATCGCCCGCCGCCCACAGACGCCGAGCCGCCCCCGCCGCCTCCACCGCCCCCGCCGCCACTCGCGCCCCCGCCGCCTCCGCCGCTCCCGCCGTACAGCTGCGCGTGCAAGGCCTCCACAGGGCTGACGTCGCCGTCCACGCCGCCGCCCCCGGAGTACTTGCTACTGCCACTACCCTTCTTCTTTACGTAGTACTCCATCACCTGCCAACCATACGCCATCTTATATTCGTTTCGCTGGCGCTGGGGGACAAAATTCACAATTACTGCAATGGGTGAATGAGAGTCAGTAAACATGAGTCATGAGAGAGCGAGAACGTGAGATATTAAATGCATGATTGAAGTGACCAGATGAGGGAAACCGAACAAGAGAGTTGACACGGAGCGCAGGCGACCAAGTGAAAGAACGATTAAGGAAGTTAAAGAGAGCTTGAGCCAGGGCCGGGGCCGGGACCGCACCTCCTTGCCGACGCCGCCGGACTTGACGCTGAAGTCGATGCTAGTGTCGGAGGGTGAGAGGGCGGCGGCGGCGCGCAGGCGGGCGTCGTGACGCTCGTGTTGGCTGCAGCAGGAGGGCAGCGCCTGGCCGGGCGGCGGCTGGGGCTGTGGCTGGGCGGCGTGCGCGGCCAGCGACGGGTGCGACGGGTGCGACGGGTGTGACGAGTGTGACGAGTGCGACGGGAGCGACGGGTGCGAAGGGTGAGACGGGTGCGCGGGCGGCGCCGGCGCCGACACGCCCACTGCCTCGCCCACCAGCACAGACAACGGCACGCGCTCCTTGTGGCGGCGCGGGTGCACAATGGTGCCCGTGCCGGCCGCTGCCTCCAGCAACGGCCCGTGGCGCGCCTTGGGCCATGTGCCGCCGTTCTTCTCCGCGCCAGACTCCTTCCCCGCTCCTGCAACACACACACGCACCGTCCTCCGGTCACACGCTCAAAGAGTATAGTCAGAGGTCCTGTCAGTGTTAGGGCCCACAAGGCGTCGGGTTTCTTCTCCCGCTGCACGAAATCGTTCATAAAATGGAATTTTATGGCACACCTCGTCCTCCCCGCCCATCTTCGCTGCCCGTCCTTCCTGGTCGACCTCCCTGCGTGACGCCATGTTGCCAACTGCAAAACTCCTTTTGAAATTTGTTTTCAAAATTAATTTTGGCTATTTTATAAATTTAAAATGCTGTTTCCACAAGTGTCAACTACTACAGTCATTAATCCAGTAAGTGGGTGTGCATGTAATATCCTTCGAGAAGGTGTTCCTCACCTGCTGAAAAGCGAAAGGCGGGTCGGTTTGCGCGTTTTCCACTCGTGGTATCTCTCCTAGTACAGCATCGCTCCAGCCGAAATAAGCCCTAAAGCTCTCGACTGTTCTCCTGGCATGTACCGTAGTGTAGAGCACGTAAGGGAAGAGGAAATCTGCGGCAGTCGGCGGAGAAATCACGGAAAACTAGCAATGAGAGCAGCCGACTGCCGGAACTCTCATGAATCATTGTATTACTTTACGTGTCAAAAATCCACGGCGGCTTCCAGTCCTTACACCTCTCAACAAATATTTTACTACTATTAAAATTAATTTCCGAATAAAATTAGATGGTGGTTGTCAGTTGTGCGTGGTGGGACCAGCGTTGTACACGCGTTCCACCACGTTACAATATTCGATTTACAATTACAACACAACAGCACTCGATAGTCATAATTCTCGGTTAGGAAACGCACTATAACACATCATTCTCTTGTTTTATGACGCTGAGATGATTAACTACAAGATTCGGTGCATGCCATTCATTGTTTCTATGCTTTTAACTAACTTTGTCCAAAGGCGAATCTTCTACGTCTCAGTTATCTAGGTTACGGCTCTGAAGTTGCTTTGTGTCAACGAACTGTCAATCACCTAATTATACGTGGTAAAGGTAATTGATAGTTCGTAAGCACGCGGTAACAACAATGCCATAACCTGAGTAACAGCACACACTACTCATCAGAAGCGTCGGCATTTGCATAGTGCTGTCGCCTCAAACTATACAGATCAAATGAATAATATGTCCCAAACGAAATGTAGTTAATGGTCTGCGCGTCAGGGTTCAGTGGCAAATTCTCCGATTCATCGCGCATAAACCGCATATACCGGCGGTATGCCTAGTAATTCAAAGTGTATAAGAAAGAAATGTTTCATGAGGTTGGTGATCCCCAACACGTTACTGACATTACGAACGAATTTAAAACAGATACAAAAAATAACACTCTTTTACTACCAGGAGCCAGTCAGTCTTCCGCATCCCTAAGTTTCTGAGTTATGAATAAAGCTATGAAGTACGTTAGAGAAGTTTCAAACAGTTCTTACTGCTGGCCAGAGAAATCGCCTGCGCCGGGCAGGCACCGCATGCCAACCGCGATACCCTAGGGCTCCTCGCGGTTCCAGGGCGGAGAGAGGGGAGGATGCGCCTGGTCGCTCGTAAATTTCGCTTCTCTCAAGTTTTTTTTTAATCAAAATGGAGTGTGTTAATGAACCAGAACTACGTGGTTCGTGTAATTGTCTTATTGAACAATGGTTAAGGACGGAATTTCATAGTATTGGGTTTTCAGAAAAGCTCAAAGTAAAAATATAACGACAGACCCACACCAGAACTTCCAGGTTGGACCGCAAAATGTCAAGAGAGGGAGCGAGACTACAGAACACACTTCAGTACTTTTAACTATTCTTGATAGAAATGGTTAACGGGCTGTCCTAAATTGAGCATCATCTTTCAGCAGTGATAAGTGCAGCGAAGTTTGCTCAAAAGAAAGATTCGGCAACATAGTATCCCAAGTTAATTCATAAGACGAGCATGAAAAGTCAAGAAATCATATATTTTATGCATTTACACAGTGTAATTTTGGTAATATCCGAAATTATTTGCAACTAAATACTCAAAAGACTTTACAAATTTCGAAACACAACGAAATGGTAAAGAAAAGCAGACTGATACTAACAAGACGCATTGATGATGTCTGCCACATAGGAAAGCACTAACTGGCTTCCAGGTCACTTACAGTGACACGTTAGATTTACTCAGCACATACGACCAATTCCTAAATGATCATTTGCAAAATGCAACACTTTTAGCGGTTCTCCGTATGCTATACAGAACGATTTAATCGAAGCTGTAAGAGGTGTTAGAGTACATACAATTATAGAGGAACTTGCCTCTGCTGATTTTGTGGCCATTCTTCTCGACAAGTCTTCACACACAATTAATAAATTGCAGCTCTCTATCATTTTTCGTTATGTGGACAAATCTGGTGAAGTTGAAGAAAGGTTTATGGGGTTTACAAACGTCGGCGCTGTTAGATCTGCCGATGCACTGTATATCCATGTTGTGACAACCGCCAATGATTTTAATAAGAAAAACTTGTTGCTCAGACCTAAGATGGTACAGCCGTAACGTCTGGCCAAGGCTGTTTTCAGCACAATAATTATAAACGAAAAACAAGCACACACACAAAAGACTTGACACATGTTTCTCTATGTATGTCGACAGGACGAATCCGAATCTAAAAGCAGAATTGCGCAACCACCCTCCAATATTCTTTTTCAATCGCGAAAAGTCGCAGTAAAATTGCATTACTTTCCCGCATACGTACGTATATACGGAGTAATATGGGTAGTATAGGGAAGATTATGTAATGCTGAGGAAAATCGATTTCGAGATTTCAACGGAAATACACGTTTTGGAGTCCCCAAGATATCGAAAAATCGTTTTTCTTCAAAACGTCCGTCTGACTGGTGTCTGTGAACACTACTAGGCGCGGAGCCATGCGTAGGATTTTTTCCACATCGAAGAAATCCCTGTCCATCTTGCTCGAGTCGAATCTTTAAGATTTTGAGAAAAGAACTCTAACATTTGGGGGTACTTTACATGCAGCCCTCCGGACATTATCAAAATTTTCTCAAAAACGGCTTCAAATGTTTTCTTTAAATTTCTTGCAAGAATCGAGTAATATAACTTATAAAAATGGCATAGGTCAGATTTTCGGGTTTAACCCCGAATTTTCGACAATTTCATTTTTCGGGCGTCTTCTTACAACTACATAATTGAAGATAGTGAGTTCTTTCAATAAGGTGATGTACTTTTTTTTTTACTTTTAGTAGTTTTCGCAAAATATTGCGAGCAATTTGTGCAATTTAAAAAAGAGGAAAACTTTTTTTTTAACGGCTCCAATTTTTTTTTTTTTTTTAATTTTGATATGGATAGTGCTAAACGTACTATATTAGATGACATAAACGCTATATTACACTATTCTTTTTACTTCATCACGACGTTAATATTTATATTAGCGGCAATTTTTTTAAATTAATGTGTTTATTGTATTATGTGCTTTAACTAATGTGAGATAAAGATTCCCGAAAACTCTACAGTAATCTGTGAAAAAGAGCTCAAAATTCCGCATTTTCAGAAACGTTCAAACGTTATCTAAAACGGCTGTAATTTTTTTCTTCAAACTTTTCCAACAGATTGCACTAATTGCACTATTGAAGATGGAATAGAATTAATTTTGCTGTATTCTTTTTAAAAATTACACAAATATAATTATTTTGAAAGATCTATCACGCCTGCACATTTCCAGCAATTTGTACACACTATTGCATTTGTAATAGGAAGTGCTTAAAATGACGTTATGTATCGTTTTTTCAAACCTCAATAGTTTTCTGTGAAAAGAGGTTCAAATTTCTAATTTATAGTAGCGCTTATATGCTATTTTCTTAAAAACGGCTCCAAATGTTTCAATGGTGCCATTTGGCACGGGGTTTTACTGTTAGGAAGCCGAAAAATTAAGAAACTTTTTTAAAAAATGTACATTGAGCGGCGTTAGATGGCAACTGGCAAGAGTATGTGGCAATTCCGAATAGCTAGCCGAGACCAATGGAAATTAAAAACTAATAAGGGTAAGTCTGTGCCATTGTGTAGAACCTCTAGTTTAATATCCATTAAATATTGTTCAAGACAACTATCGTGTTACCATAAAACGTATTTTTTGCATTGTTTTACAATACTTCTCTACTCGTAGCCCTATGAAATGCATTTCTATATTGTCCAGGGTATCAGGCTTCTATTTCCAATACAAGTTTACATAATCTTTGGTATTACATTTTTATGCAGTTGTAGAAAAAAATGTTGTTCATATTTTGTGTGTGAAGTTTCCCTTTCTTTAACGGATGAGATTGAGATTGTTTGCCAACTGTCTCGGCAATAAATCTCAATAGTCCCGAAAAAGGTATCAGGAAAACAATCTGGAAGTTTTTCTCAACGATTGTACACGTTTTGTTTTCAGAGGTTGTTGTCATGTCCACAGACTTGGCAAAGGTTTCTATACGTATATCAACGCGCTGAATCCGAAGCCAGACTTGTGCCACCATCCTCCAGTTTTTTTAAGTCGCGAAAACCACATGTGAATACTACTTTTTGGTGCCATGTAACATTATGCTCTACAGAAGCCGAAAGTTGTCAGGCTTAGGGCTTGACACTTTTCTCTATGTACGCCAACGCGCTGAATTCAAATCCAGAATTGCGCCAACGCCTTCCATTTCTTTTATCGCGAAAAATTATCGTGCAATTTACAATTTTACGGAGATATTTAGCGGTTTAAGAAAACTGAAGGATGATGGCGCAATTCTGCCTTCACATTAGGATTCAGCGCGTTGTCATATATAGAGAATCATGTGTCAAGTCTTTGGGTCTGACAACTTCTTTTTGCATTTTGTGTGCCTGTGTCATTACTACTTCTCCTTAGACACGTTAATATTTATAGTAATAATATATAGTACTATTTTTTACAAATTCGTTAAATTGTTTATAATTTGAAATATTGATACAAAATTTTAAACGCCACGTCTTCAACGTAAACAAATATGACCATAAGCATGTTGGTTTGACTCTAGCTGACTAATGGAACATCAAATATTTAACATGAATAAATGGGTTGTGTGTAAAACATTTGGTCTTAGCATCTTACAATTGTAAAAAATAGAAATGTCAGTTGTATTTACCCGCTCTGAAAAGTCCACCAGCAAAACTTCTGAGTTAGAACTAAATTGGCTTTTTCCTTTCCAACATTTACACATGTTGTTTTCTCGTTACTTTTCGTATGAATTTTTGCAGGCTTTGTCAACTTCTTCTAATATTTCATGCAAATTATGTTAAATATTTTCCATATTCAATCGTGTTTTATTTCTTATTTAAAACTTTATTCTCTAAGACACTACGGCGATCAATAATATACACTGTCTACCAAAACAGGTCTTGTTCCAATCCAATATGACGGCATCAAATAGATTCTTTAAATAGTAAAGATATATTCAAATTTCTCAAATTTAAAATTATTCTTAAATGGAAACGAAAAATATTGTACGTAACACGTGGATTAAGGTATATAATATTGCACTCGTGGTAAATAAGAAAACTTGCCATCTTCGCTCGTTTTCTTGAACATACCATTCATGCAATTATACTCCTCTTTATCCGCTCATTTCGTTAATTACTATTAACTTATTTATTTTCATACACATTAAAATAATATCAATTTATTGAAAGTTCAATTCATATTTAATTTAGTACGCAATTCCATTTCCTTGACGTGGTGCGACAATGCGGGTGACTAAATTCTATTACCGTACTTTTTCCTTTCGTAAAATGAATTCCGTCTTTCGATACGCACACTGGTTATAATATCAGAAGGACTTCGTCCCGCACCAACTACTGTCAAACATTGCGTCCAGATACAGAAAACTGAGTATGTACTGTTTTCCACTTCTTATTGACACATACACCTACCCATTTTGGCATCGTGGCAGACGCAGACTCATAAGGGGGTCCCCACCACAACGCTTAGACTTTTCATTTGTTACCCTCCTCTATTTGACAAAATTGATGAATTGAATATTTGTTACAATTTAGTAATTATTCAAAAATAATATTGTTTAGTATCAGGTATACACTTCAAAACGAATATAAAATATAACAAATGTATATTATTACTAACTAGTGGCGCTACAGTAGGGTCAGAGAAAATTTTGGAAAAAGTCCTACGAATGATTTAGCTGCTAGTGTTGTTTGCGATCGATCGATCGGACATAAGAGGCAGGCAGAGAAGTGGTCAGGCAGACCATCAGTCAGACAACCCGGCGGTCAGACAGAATGACGACGGGAAGGACAAGAACGGCGGGCGGGCGGGCCGGGGCAGGACGGACAAAGACACATTTTTGGCAGTCACCGAATTTTTTTTAATATCAAGACAGACAGAATATAAAATAATACAGTAAATAAAGAAAGTACTCGCCTCGGCTATCGTTTTTCAACTTTCCTGTATTTCACACTTTCCTGCATTTTACACTTTTTTTCATCGGTCCCCTGAAAAGGGTAAAAGAGGGTTTTTACTATATCTGTTTCAAACACTCACTGTTTCAAGTTTCTTCAGATTGATCGGTGAATATAAATTTTGGAGAAAATCAGCTGAATGGTTTAGTATATATACTTATGTGACAAAAACCATATTTTCTGGGTTGTTGATACTGAAAAATTGATAAACAGCAAACCATAATGTCTGTCCACAAGCGTCTATACTTGTGTTGTTTTTGTTGTTGCTTAACAGCAGCAATGATATACTTGTTAGATTATCACAATATGATCCAAGAAGCTCCTTACGGATATTTTCCAGTAAAGCAAATTCAATAATTTGTGAAATTAGGTTGAAAAACAAAATTATGAAGTTAAGGGGAAAGTATCATTTAGGAGCACAATAAAAATGATTTTTGCATATCAAACAATTTTGTTCCACATACTTTTAATTTGAATAAGAGCAAGAACCCTTTAGTAAAAATAGTGGGAGGATTTGAATTTTGTCTGTTGTAAAAGGGAAATAGCGATACTAAAGGTTTGGGCCCACAAATAATATTGTACAACTTCTGTGACTGACTTAAATAATTTCCTGTACAAAATTATCAAAAGAAGTAGGCAAAGAAGAAATTAAGAACTATGAACAGCAACGAGATAAAAATTCATTAAAGCACACATTTGAATAAAATTGTATTTTCTTTGAACACTTGAATTTGTATTTTTTTTTAACATTTTATGAATTAAATAGAAAACACAAGTGGTATAAGGTATGCTCAGGAACTTACCTCTGTTGCGTCTGCTGCGTTTCAGCACTGTGCCAACAGGCCCAGTTGGATCGCTTCGATCCTTCCGGTAACTTTCAATGACTGAGTCAAGTTCCGCCAGAGCATCATCTTGTTCTCGTGCAAAGGGAGCCCCAGGTGAAGAATTCGGGTTTTTGTTGTCGTGGTTTGCACCATCACCTGGCATACTTTTCACGTGCCGATTACGTCCCACTCTGACAGCACCTTCCACTTTCTCCCTAAATGCATCCCATGCTCGTGACCCATTGCTTGTCGTGTTTTTCTCCTTCACTGCAAAGGCAGAAGGATAATGGAGGTAGTCATGGGGGATATGGGAATGCTGTGTATGGAGCATAAAGGAGTCTTCCGTCTGGGAGCTGCAGTTCACCATGCGAGGCCCATGAGGACGCGGGGAACTACCAAACGAAGGGCCATCATCACTGCCACAGGTAGAAGGAGCAGGCGGTCCTTTGAGCGTGGTGATGGTCAGCACATCAACTCCAGGTTCCTCTAGAAGGGCCATCGCCTCACGTGCACAACGCAGACTGTCCATTGGGCGACTATTAATCTGCAGGAAGACAACAAAAAATATTAATTACTCAAGTCCCAAATTAAAGATACGTACATGCTGCGTTTTTTTTGAAATTCTACAGAGCATTTCTCTGTTCACTTACTCCAACTCTAGCACAGGTCAACATTTGGCAAAAATGAATTGTTGTTATTGCTATTAGTATCACTATAATCATCATCACCACCACCATCACCATTCATTATCATCATTATTATTTTCTCACAATAAATCTTGTTGCTAAGTATACAAAAAAATTCATCCAACACGTGGTGTAGCCAGAATCTGTTTTTGTGTCCTTCATCCGAATTAGTGGTGCTTAAACAGCACATCTTTCTCGCCCCTTAGTAACAGTTGTATAATAATAGTATATCGCATTTCTGTCTATAACAACACATCTCAGTCAATGAGCGCTGACAACAAAGCACATATGCAGCAATAGGCGCTGCCTACAATGGGAACATAATTTCTTATAAATTCTTGGTAAAAGCACCATTTTTGCCACAACTAGAACTGTTTTTCAGTTTGCATTGTTGCGATTATATGAAAGTTATTCTAAGGCATTCTATATGGAACACTATTGCTTGTTTCAAATATATTCAATTATTTTTTGCTATGTCCCCAAGATATTTTAAGTTCGTTCTTAAAAGTGTTTAATTAGAGAGAATCAAATGCATTTAATTTATTCATGTTGAATATTTTATGTTGTTCCATAAGTCAGCTAGCTTAATGTTTACTTCCCCAATTTAATTTTATTCATTCATTGTTTATACGTAGATATTGTAAAGCAAATTTTTGTTCATGTATCATGGCCAACTGGAAATACCTTGTCTACGAATGTGTTATAATTTCTTCATTACACAATTTGGCTCCTTTTCAGAATTCTGATAGGTAGGTGTGGTGCTTTAATTGCACATGTGCTATTAACATAGTGATAATAAACGATTTTTCATGGAATTTATGAGTATATTTAGTTAACTAAACAAACAAGTATTTCATTATTTTTGTTTCCATACAGATAAATTATCACACAAGAATTTTATTATATATTTCTTCTTGTATTATCAATAAACAACAAAAATAATCCACTTAGGAAGCTTAATTTCAATTATATTTGCAATTAAAAGATTTTCAAAATATTCTAAAACTCATGATAGCAACTTCACACTTTTTGCACTCTTTACAATATTAGAAGTTAAGTTAACAACAGAATACAAGTCCCAAATTTAACTACATACAGTAAAATTCCTCTTTTACACTTTTCAAGGGACCAATGAAAAAAATTGTAAAATTCAGGAAAGTGTTAAATACAGGAAAGTACGGGAAAAACGATAGGCTAGGAGAGTACTTTCATTATTTACTGCAACGGTTACTCTGTTTTCACTTTCTCGCACTTCGTAAGAAGAGAAAGTAAAAGCATGCGCCGGAATCAGCGATTTTCATCACAAAATGTCCACTTGACGTACCCTGGGGTAATGACAAAGAGGATAAATCATATTCCCATATATAGTGAATTACTTCCTCTAACATGTGGTGTAGCCTGAATCCCTGTGTAATGGGTCCTTGAAACTGCAAAATCGATTGACTGCTGTTTTTCCGGCTGAAAACGTCTGTTTGCCCATCTGTGGTCACCGCAAGCGCCTCAACTGCCTACCGATTCAAATTCCGTTCCAATATGTAGTACATTACTGCATATCTATATAATGAAATCACAAAAGTCTCACATTCGTTCAGATCAATCGACGAATATCAATTTTAGAGAAAATCGGCAGGCAGTTTAGATGCTCGTGTTGACCACAGACAGGCAAACAGACGTTTTCAGCAGGAAAAAGACTCCGTCAATCAATTTTGCTGTTTCAAGGACCCATAAAACAGGGATTCACGCTACGTAGGAATATGATTTATCCACTTTTTCATTACCAGGGCACGTCAATAGGAGATTTTCTGACAAAAATCGCCGATTCTGGCACATGCTTATACTTTTTTTTTTTAAAGGACGACAAACTGAAAACAGAGTAACCATTGGAGTAAATAAAGAAAGAACTCGCCTAGGCTATTGTTTTTCAACTTTCCTGTATTTTACACTTTCCTGCATTTTACACTTTTTTTCATCGGTCCCCTGGAAAGTGTAAATGAGGCGTTTTACTGTAAAAATATAAATAATCATTCTTATCTTTATGGTTATAACTATACTTTTTTTTTGTTGTTTACTTGATTTTTGTACTAGTACATTTTTGTTATTATGCACACATCTTTTTTGGTAAAGGGTTCATCCTGTTTATTTTAATAAATACATAAATAATGTATTACAACCCCTTGAACTTACACTGAGTACACGATCTCCAACTGCTAAGTTCCCCTCGTTTGCAGCGAGGGATCCAGGAGAAATGCGGCAGATGTAGAAGCCAGTTTCTAGAGCCAGACCATGCTCAGCAGTGCCTGCTGACTGTTGCGACAGCTGCAGCTGGGTAGTGCACAGACATCGAGCACCGAGGCGGCGGCGGCGCACCACCACACTGGCACGCCCACCACTACTGGCACGCACAGTCTCAACCACCATGCGTTTGCTCACATTACTGCAGTCTAAGTTGTTGACACGGCTGATGCAGTCGTTGACCCTACAAATCCAGAAAAGAACAAATAGAATTGAAGAGAATAGATTTATCAAGTTCTAGCTTAAACATACTTCTTGTTTATTATGTTAAATAACTTATTTGTATAACGTTTTAATTACCATTAAATTAACCCTTAACAGTCAACACAAAATTTATTATGTTACAGGTAACGTTCTCTAAGACCCTGCATTTTTTTTTGCGTTTTATTTGCACATTTTTTAATGTTTCCTTTTTGTGAAGGTATTTCAATGTTTTTCAAAATTTTCAATGTATAAGAAAGAAAAACATAACTGAAATTGAGTATTATTAGTAAAATAAAAACTCAAAACTTTTACACGTTTTATTAGAAAAGATATTACCAAAGAAGAATAACTCAATACGCAGTTTAAAAAATTACTAATGTAAAAGGTCTTATGTTGGGGTGTTTCCCATTACAATTCACTTATAGGGTGCAGTTGTGCACAGAACATATTCCATGATTAGGTGTTAGTCTTAAAATCTTTATAAATGTATATCTAAATCTGAAAATTAACTGTTAATTTATATACAGGAAAATCTGTCTAAACCGGAATAGATCGGGAGAAAAAATTATTCCGGTTTACGGAGGTTTCCATTTTATACAGTTGTCCATTTTATGACAATTATATTGATATTTCTTTCCTAAAATTAGTAAATTATGTGACTTTATTATAATTATAAAAATATATTAACATAGAACATATTTATGGAAGAAATCACCAAGAAATTAATATTAAATATATTTCTGACAATTAAAAAAAAATTCCACAACTAGTGTAATAAAATGATATTTTTTAACATTTATTTACAATTTTTGCAATTTGGTTTTCCCACATGCGAAAACCTTTTTCAATTATATTTTCTGAAGATGAAAAATTTTAATATTTAGGGTTTTATGTTGGTTTTTTTCCCCAACCACGTTAAACTGCTTGGGAAACTCGTAAAACCACACGTCCTCACTGCCTAGCGGCTGCACTCTTAACTGCTCGCCGATTCTTTCAACACACATTTCTTTCAACATCACATCTACACATCTTTCAACGTCCCAAAGTACTGTCTTTCTGATACCCTCTCATGGCCTTGACCAATGCGGCTCTGCCAAGGAGTGATGATGTCAACGTTTAGCCAGTAGATGCGTATATATGAGGGTTGCATTTTATATTTCAGGATTAGAGAAAATATATTAATCAAATATTAATCATCAAAAATCACTTTATTGTTTTTCAAAATATTCCCCATGAAGATCTATACAGTTTTGCATGCATTTGAACCAATTGTCGAAGCACTTTGCCACTCTGATTGAGATATCTACAAAACATGCATTCTGAATGCAGCTTCTTTAGGTGTTCAAAAACGTTGACCTCTGTTTGCTTTTTATGTAAGTGAATAAAAAGAAGTCATTCAGTGCCAAGTCAGGACTATACAGCAGATGACTCATCAAATCGATGTTTTGGGTGCTCAAAAATGCAGTGGTTTGAGCCAATGTGTGAGAGCTCGCATTGTCATGGTGAAGAGTGATCCATCTTCGATGGTTGGTTTTCCTGATTCTTGGAAGACAGCTGGCAAACAAATCGTTGTGTACCACTCAGAATTGACTGTTCTACGTTGTTCTAGTGGTACAGTTGCAACATGTCCAGTTTTTCCGAAAAAACAGGCAACCATCTGTTTGGAAGTGCTTTGTGCGTGAACAACTTTTGTTTGATTTTGCTTATCTTGAAACACCCATACAGTCGACTGCTGTTTACTTTCGAGCTCATAAGTGTAAATCCACGATTCATCACCTGTCACGATGTCATAGACGTGTTTCGAAGCACCGCAATTCGCGATCGTATTTTTTTAACATTTCTTTCGACCAATCGACACGAGCCTTTTTTGAGCGATTGACAAATTGTGTGGGATCTAACGCGAACAAATTTTTTTGACAGTCAAATGTTAAGGTTGTCTCAATCTCACGATAGCTATAATGACTATCTTGCAATATCAGTTCATGCACAGCATCAATGGTTTTCAGAACAACTGATTTTGGACGACCTACGCGAAATTCGTCTTGGAGTGAACTACGATCACGACTGAATTCACCATACCATCGATAAACACTGGTCCTTAATGGAGCTTTATCACCAAAAATTGAATTAAGTTCATCCATGCACTGTTGCGGAGTTAATCCACGTCAAAAGTTGAAAAAAATAATCGCACGAAAATGTTCACGATTTAATTTTATTTTCGGGCCAAGATGAATCTTTTAAGTTACTGTAAACAACATAAATAGCGCTCGTTTGTCAAAACGTTCTGAGTATGTATAACCTCAAAACATCCAACTTGACGATAGAGCTGTCAGTTGCCAGATTGCAACACCAGGTTTGCCAAATCCCGAAACATAAAAGGCAGCCTTCGTACAAGCCATGCCCATGCACCTTCCCACACTCAGAGAGCCAGGAGAGAAGGAATTCCCCTACGGTCTAAGTCTTGAAAGACAAGCAATTCCAAGGTGGAATTCTATGCTGACAGCTGAAGCTCCTCACATTCACTGTGCGGCTGCTACGTCAACTCATCACTGGCACAGAGAAATTAAAACAGACTTGCAGATGCATTTCTTCCATTAAGATATTCTTGCATCTCTCTGCCAACAGAAATTCCTTTTTGTGAAGGTTTGTCTTCCACTGCAGGACATGAAGAAACATTCCGTTTCCATGGTGGACAGATTCCGTTTTATGATGTGTAAAATGCCATTTAACTTCACGGGCCGAGGAAATTTTCCAGTTAAGGCAGGTTTCTGGCTTGAGCATGTTCTGGTTTAGACAGATTTCACAATTTTATGTTTTTATCTAAAACGCTATACTTAAATTGCTTTGTGTGATTGAAGTTTTAAAAAATGTCAAAAAATGTAAGTTTCTTGAAAATTAAATTTATCCAGAGTCGCCAGTTCCCATTTCATAGCAACTCTCAAATTTTATGAAGTACCACAGCCAGAGGTGGCCTGGGAGCAGACATTGCACTACCACTCCACAGGCTTGCAAAGTCCGAGAGATTACTTTACAGGAGCACTCTGGAGAATGCCGAGAAAGAGAGAGGAAAAAAAAAAAGAAAGAAAGAAAAAAACGCATACCACCAACAACAACACGTATAAACGTGAAAAATTATATAAACAGAGTTTCACTGTACATACATTTGAATCAAAATTTTTGTAATATAATGTTTTAAACAATGAAATTTAATTTTTAAATCAAATTGTTACAAGAATGTTTGAAGCTAGATTTCAATACTAGCTAGTTTGAATTGAGTTTCATATATTTCTTTCAGATTATCTTCTGTAAATCAATATTACAAATGTGGTCACTGCATATAACTAGTTCAAACAGATAGTATTCATAATTTCATCATTGCATAACATCTTGTAACCCATCAAGCAATTCATTTCTGAAATATGAGTTGACTTTGGCGAAACACATTTACAGGCTTGTTCACTTACGACATTTTCAACTGAACTAAAAAAAACTCAAATAAACTTAACATAACCTTGGTTGTTTTTAAGAGAATGAAATATTATTTGAAACACAAGAAAACAACTCTGAAAAAGTCTTACTCTGCAAAAGAAGAATCCAAAGGTAGTACTTAAAATACTTAAGTTTAGAGTAATTCAGGTCTACAAGGCCTTCGTGGCAAATTTACAACAATGAGTAAAAAAAGTACACAACAATGTTATAAAAGAGACTCTCAAATGATACAGAGCTTGTTGTTCAAAGCTGCAACGTATAAAGTATAGTCAAATTTAAATAAAAGAAATAGCAGTGGGGTCTGAGAGACCAGTGTAACCGGTTAAGGGTTAAGGAATTAGTAATACAAAAACAAAAGGTAAAAAAACATGTGCATATACATATAAGTTTTCAATGGTTTGAAATGCATTAAAATTGTGGCATTGATTATAAGCTCATTGATATTGCACAACTTTCAAGTGTGAAAATAAATTTATAACTGATTAGACAGAGAATAAGGCTGAACATATCACAAAACTGTAGTCTTCCCAAGAACATAATGAAAAACACAGTTTTAAGTAATTGAGAATGCAATTTTCTGAGCAGTGTCTGACATGTCATCAAACAAACCAAACTCATTTTTCACTTTTTGTTTAGTTTTTACTTACGGGTGGGCTGGATAGCCCAGCACAAGTCAAACGTTACCCAAACCAAGATCATTCTAATTAATCTTTCCAAGGCTGTAAAGAAATCTAACTTTTAACATCACGTTAGGTGGGTACAATAGTAGTTTACAATTTATTTTTTTGGCTTACTGAGGCAATTTATAACTCTGTTGTAAGATCTTGTTTCTCCATCTAATCTCCTTTGAAATATGTGCATTTCTCCCTTAGATACAAACTCTTTCTAAAACTAGAATTTGGAGAAAAATTTGAGAAACCATACTCACTCTTCATGCAAAAAGATGCTGGTCTGGGACATGAAATTACCAGTTAGTACTCACAGTTATTACCCCAGTGATTACAAGTACTACATCTTCCGTATCTACCCCCATGCTCAAAAAACTTCTCTTTGTCTAGGTTCCATAAAGTTATGAACTTCTGAAAATACTAGGAACCCTTCTGTCTTTGGGTTCCATGCTGAGGAAACTAGGAACTTTTCTGCCTTCTTCTCTGCATATGTTAAGAAACCTCAGAGCAATAGTAACGAGTGTTGGGAGATCAGTAGATGAATACCAGGCTATTAGTGTATGTAGGCATGCATGCCATAGGAGTGAACTAGTTAAAGGAGATGGATAGAAGACAGAAAACAGAATAGTTGAAATCAGAAAATTGAAGATTGGTGGCATAGAGCATAGAAATAAGGGTTGATTAGAACATGGAGTAAAAATGCAAAATACAGTTAAAATCTGTATATAATCTTTTTACTTATGTTGGTGTTACTTAAATCGTTATACTTAAAAATATAATGGGTGACAAATTTAACTATGTCCAGTATTTAAGTATTACGATAGATAACATTTATGCCATCGAATTTCCTGCAAAGATCTACGCTAAGGAACCGACAGACCAGTGTCACACATTAGTTAACCCTAATGTGCCCTATTTAAATCCTCTTGGGAGAATGGAAGCTTTTGTGATCCAATCACCCATCGTATTGGATTAACACAGGAAAATTCCAGACCAGTATACAGAGTACATGGATGACATTGAAACTTCCTGATGAAGTTGAGAAACACATGTTTTGAGAACATTGTAAGAACTATAAGGTATGTAACTTGTCACAGCATGAGTCAGGTCCCAGACATCACGCAAAATCAAAATTAGCAAATGAAAATCTCAGATTGATTTTACTGAAATAGTGGAGAAGACAAAAGGGAACAAGCCTTGCAGCAGCATATACGTGAATGAGAAGAGGATTGTGAAAAGGATACCAGATGAGTTACATGTGAGATTTGGCATAGAGTTCATGAGCACACCACTAGTCTCATGGTATTGATTAACTTTCCCGTAGGCTAGGGATCATTGCATTTGGTGAATGCAGTAACAGGTGGGTTCATGACAGGATGTAATTTAAGTAAACAGTAAATTACGTATGTGGCAGCTGGACAGAAAGACCTTTATATCAAGTCACATAAAGAGAAGAATCTTAGGCAAACTGTTTAGCAAAAAATGAAACAAAATAACTATACTATCAGATTAAATGTAAACTTATTGATTCAAATTCTGTGTCACAGTAAAAGAAAAGGGCAAGCTGTTAATGAATCTGTACAGGTATCTTTTGTATTATACCCTTGTTTCTAATACATTCAACATTTGTATGCAGTACAACTCGTAGCAACTTAGCATTCTTATCTGAGAGAGTTTACCATATGGGACATGCTCTATATAGCCCATAAAAGCAAAATAAATGAATATTTATTTCAAAGTTCTTTTCTCAGAGTCCTCACCATGATCCGTAAAGAGTTAGGTCAATGGAAATATTACATAAAAAAATTCGTTTACCCCAGATTATTTCCAAATGTGACAGATTTGACTCTTGAAACCTCAAGATGTCTTAATACTATGGCTACAAAAGCTATGAAATGGCGATAAATAAAAAAAATAAAACTTACTTCAGCTTCCCATCAGCTACAGAACCTTTGGTGACTGAAGAAACATAAATGCCACTGTCATTGGGGTACTGAGGATCATCCCTGCCTCCCACTAGATCAAAGCCAAGATCATCATCTGAAGCTAAGCCACTCTGGAAGTCAAATATTCAAATGAGAACAGGAAATTGAGATCTTTCATTTTCAAAAAACAAATATAACAAAAAATTGTGATTTTTTTAGATGTAAAGAATACAAAACATTAAAAAAAATTAAAGATAATTGCAAATAACAATTCACATTCAATAATACTCATTCAGCTTACTTTGTTTTCTAATTTCTCCCAGTACAAGCTAACTGGCCCATGTAAATTGTGAAGATCAATGTTCTTAACGTAACTTTTACTTCAGAATTCAGTTTAGTGATCTGTACAAGAGATAATTTAAAACCTTAGAAGCTGAATATTATAAGACTCACCAAATCCATATCCAGAATTTCAGTTTCCCATTCATGTAAGTCAGCATCAATAGCAGAATCATGACTGTGGTTGTGGCCCAAGGAGTGAAAATGTTGAACACGGGCCTCTTTCTCCTGTTCTGCTTCCATTCGCTCCCTAAAAATTTGATAGACAAGATTTTAGTGTGATAAAAGAGGAAAGTTGTGACCTGCCTTTGAACTTTTGACAGGTTGACAAGACATACTCAGAAAAAAACAAGAAAAAAACAGGAAGACAATGCCAATTTCTTCCAGGAAATGATCTTATTATTGTCAAAAATTCTTACATACAGGAGTTTTGATTTTATTTCTTTTATTTTTGAAAAGTATATTTTTAATGCTGATACAATTCATTTGAAAACATACATATGATTTATTGAAATTGTTGTAAGTGGTAACTACCTTCCTCTTTGGTTATAGTGGTTCTCAGAATGGATGAATTTTACTGAAGTTTTTCAAGATGATACAACACATTAGAAAATACTAAGTCCATTATCTGATCATTGCGGAAACTCATTTAAACGTTTTTTTTTCATTCTGTGGGGTATGTGCCATGATAAGACCATCTGAGTAATAAAATTTACAAATGAAAATTATATTAAGATGAAAGAAAACAAAACAAAATAACAAAAAAAGAAGAAATGTGCAAGTGTGTGTGAGTGGGGGGGGGTCTATGTTAACAATGTCTATGTAACAGACTATGTTAACAATGTAAACTTCCAATCCCTTCATTTGTTCCATTAAAGATGAACTCATAGTCCATGCAATTTTTTTCTGTCTCAAGACCAGATCCCTTTCCACTCTTGAATAGAGGTAAATTACATATTACTTGACGTTTCTGGCCCTTTTACAATGTTTATGATACACAAACACTTACTTCAGATCTTTTAATTCCTTGGATGCTTCATTTCGTTGTTTTTTAATATCATCAGAGTCTCGTAATGCAGCAGCAAGATCTGATACTGCACGGTCTCGTTCTCGTCTCAGTCGGTCACATAAGGTGCGTATGCTCTCACGTTCTAATACTATTTTGTCCCGTTCTGCAAATGCCCAATCTCTGCGTCTTTTCGACACCTCCGCTTCTTGAAGGGCCTCTGGAACAAAAGAAAAAAATAAATAACGTATTTAACAAAACATTCTTTGCCAAAATAAATAAATTCAATTAGCAAAACAAAGTATCTAGGTGTTGCATTTAGAAATGCTGTAAACACTAAAGATGTCAATGTTTGTCAAATCTCCTTTCAAAATAAGATAACACAGTTTCCATCTCGCATTAACCAACAAATGGATAGTACTAATATTTCTAACGCTTCTTTCATTTATTTGCTTAGTAACTTTTTAAGCAAACAAAAAATTAAATAAATGCAATGAAACCTCTATTTAACGCCACTCTAGGGACTGGTCAAAAAAAGTGTAAAATCAAGGAAAACGTAAAATCAAAGAAATTATTTTTTAGCAAAGATTTCATTTCAGAACACATTGCAAGTCTAAAAATATTAAATAATACATAAACCTTGAATTTAAATGAAATGACTCTTAGAAAAATAAATCTATTTTAAACTGTGCACAATAACACTTCTTCACCTAATTTAAAATTGTCATTTGCTTATTGTTTTCGAGCTGTTTTACAAAATAGTTTGTTTTCTATGTTGTTGCATGAAACCTACACACTTTCTTCTACATTAAATTGCTGAAAATGTTTTTGAGCAGGGTCAAGTCCTCCAAGAGCTTGTATGAAAGTAACCTTTTCCTCCTAGTCTTCTTCATCAGTCATCTTCGTCTCTTCCTCAGCAACTTCAGACATTTCCTTCCTTTTAACAGTAGATACTTGATCTTCCAGTATCTGGTGAAGAGACTAGATTTTACATGTTGTTAAATGACGGAGGACAATGGTCCACAGTTACATAACCTTGGAAGTCAGTCGCTTTCCTTTAATGACACCCAGTCTTGTTTTTCGTATGCAGTTAAAATTGGAAGAACTTTAATGTTTTCCATTTCACCATCAATTATAAACCAACATTTTTTTAAACAATTCTGTATTGTTTCTGGAGATATTTGTCTTCAAGCTTCAGTGACATAATACAATGCTTGAAGGATATGTAAATGCCAATCTACTCATTTTTGAAGCACCTTCAAACATCCCTCCATCTATCATTGCTACAGCTTTTCTTCTTAACGGCTTCCTCTAATCACACTTGAATGAATGGATGATGTTGATGGTCAGGGGCTGTAGTTGACTACTACAGTTTGGTGGCAAAAATATAACTTAAATTTCGAAGCCCACTAGTTTCTTTAGGATGACCAGCACACTGACCAATGAAGAGAACAATTTTGAAATTCTTGGCCCCCGTCTGCCTATTTACTTGTAAGACAAAGTCTTTAAAAATTCTTCCAGTCATCTAGGCTTCTTGGTTTGCCTTGTATTTTGTTGGAATAGTTTTAATATTTTCAAAACATTGGGGGTTGTGAGCCTTACCAATAATAAAGGAGGCAATTTTTTGCTGCCGTCAGCATTACATGCCAGCAGCACGGTGATTCTCTCTGACACGTTTTGAAGCAGTCCAGCCAGCCTTGCGCCACCTTGAATTCTTCAAGTGCGAGACATGCTGCTACATATATAGTGCCTTTTTTATTAGATGTGATCCATCAATGGCTAAATTAGATTGTCTCGCTTGCTTAAAGCAACTCATAACGGCAGTTTCTAATTCTTTCATTGGAGGTATTTTCAGTGATTTTTGCGGCTTTGAAAACATTGGTCCGCATCTCACATAGCACTTTTGAATTTGCTCATGCTGTTCAGCTACTAAATTAAAAAAGGACACACCGAAAACCATTTTGGCGGAGACGACTACTTTCTTCCGAAAGTGAGCATCCACTTCTAAAATACGAATTTTCAAATAGCAAAACTTTATCCTCACCACCCTTCCCAAAACTGACACAGTCAAAGCAGTCTTTTCTTTCAGAATGTCCATCTAAGAGTGCTGTCATGCAAAAATCTTAATATAGGGGTTTACTACACAATAGGACTTTTCACAAGTCAGACGCAAAATCAAAGAAAACTTAAAATCAAGGAAAATTATAGATTACTAACACCTTTTGCTGGGACAACTCAGTTATGACGTAAATTCTGGGAAAAATTAAATTCAGAAATCGTAAAATCGAAGTTTTACTGCATATTAAAACATATTTCATAATATTCATACCAATTTTGATACACCTGTCAGCCTTGCTATAACAACAGACCCACAGAGACACAGGTAAAACAGAAAACAATGAATATAAATAGTATTCACAATATACTATATTTATGTTCTGAAAGAAACAAACTTTATTAAAATTTGTGGACAACTCCCTCCAAACCCATGAAAAGAACACAACACACAATAATGTGGACCAATTTACATTTATAATCCAGTGCTGCAAAACAAGATTTTCTGTCCATTGTTTAAAAAATTTACAACAATCCTGGATTACTAGAAGTACTTCTCACAGTTAGCCCAAGAGAAATTTCACTCGTGAAGAAATAAACAAAGAGCTCATGACCATGGAAGATTGACAAAAATGACAGTTCACACTCACCCTGCAGTTCAGAAGTCAACTTGTCAGCTTGTTTACGCAGTCTGTCCAACTCAAGGTTGGCTTGGTCCAGGTTATCCATTCGCTCCCGCTGTCCATACTGGCCCCCAGAATTGCCTGTGCGTCCACCACCACCGCCGCCAAGCCCGCCGTCTTCTTCGCCGCGTCCCCCAACTCCCGATCGCCCAAAGTCATGGTCTCCACGGGCCAGGCGAGCTGTACGCCCCCCCACTCCACCTTCCCTGGCCAGAAGCAAGCCCTCCTCTTGGGCGGCAGCAGCAGCAAAACCTCCAAACTTCTCCCTCAGGTCATTGCATTCCTTTAGAGCCTTGTCCCTGTCATGCAATGCAGATGCAATCTCCCTCTTAAGCGTTTCCACTTGGTAGCTCAAGGCTTTTTTCTGAAATACAAAAAGAAGAGTTCTTTACCAATGTTCTGAAATTATCATTTTATGCATTAACATCTGATTTTTTAAATATATTTATAATAATTATTATTTCATTATAATTATATTTTGATAATTATTTAATAATAATAATAATAATAATAATTATTATTATTATTATTATTATTATTATTATTATTATTATTGTAAATAAAAAGGTATGTATTAATGTAAAAAGGTATCATTAATGAACTTAAGGATGCAGCAGTCAATTAAATGCTGAATTATAATTAATTTATGATGTTAGAAGACCACTATGCAACGAAAGTTACTCCATGGCCGTTTTCTCCCACACAACCAGTTACATTCATAACCAAGATGTGACTTCTCCTAGGATACCTATTTATATGTATGAATATATTTTGTTATTTTTGTTTAGTGTGATTGAATAAAATGTGTTCCTAACTTAAAATCATATATTTAATTTTTTTCATTTAAATGCCAAGGGCCTTAATTTGAATGTGTTGCTTGGTCGCAGTTTAAATGTATTAGATTTCAATTTGAAAGAGAGTCATGTTAGTTTGAAGTTGAAAAAGTCCAGTGTTATAACTATAATACTAACAAAGAGCAATAAATTGTAATGCAATGAAATGATTGTATCAAACTCCTACGTCGCAATCAAGAGAACTATTACTTTAAGTCAAAAGTCAGTCGACCACAGGCTCTAAAAAATTTGCAATGCAACAGAACAAGAGAGGAAAAAGAAAACCAATAAAGCCTCATCAATAAAGAATACAATGATAATCTCACCTCCTCCACCAATTCCTTGCTCTCCCCTTCCAATGTCTTGTTCTTCTTAAAAGCCTGAGCCAAGTCATCACTAAGCTTCTCCATCTCTTTATGTACAGTATCTCGTTCACTCATTATCAAGCTGTACTCCTGCATTGCAGCATTACGTTCTTCTGTCAGTCGTTTTAAATCTTTGCTGGCTTTCATGCGCACTGCCATGGCTTGATTCACCTCTTTCACTGCTTCTTGGTGTTGTTGTTGTACCTGTTGAATCAGAAATAAAACTAAAGAGATGTGATAAAGATAGGAATATTTTCATCTGGTTGACAATACATTTGTTATACAGTACGGTTAGTACGGCGCACATTGGCATAACTTGCAAAGTTCACACAATATTGCAAATTTTAGTCATTTTTTTTATGTATACAAATACACAGGCACTAAATAAGTCAAATGAGAGTAAAAATACAGTAGTAGTAATAATAATAACAATAATAATAATAATAATAATAATAATAATAATAATAATAAT